GGCAGTGGCGTTCGATGAGTCCATGCTTTGGGGGCCCTCGAAGCTGCTCGGGGTCGTAACAGTAGACACTGGCTTTACAGAGTCGGAGTCACAGCTGGGCCAGGAGAGTGCGCGCTGGTGTGGGGGAAGCTCGGTGCGGAAGGCTCCTAGTGAGCTGGCCCGCTCCTGCAAGGATGTCTGCCCGTGGCAGTGTGCGTGGGCTCCGCTGCAAGTGAACAGCCAAGACCGGGGAATCGGTGAGGCGCCGCTGACCTCCTCTTCACTGCCCCTCTTGCTTCTGCTGCTGCTGTCGTCCTCGCCATATCCGACCGCGTCTGCATCGTCTCTCTCCTGCCATTTGGCAGTGCCCGCGTTGGCGACGAACCTTTCGCAGTTGCAGGGAGGCGGCGCACCTACGTGGGCTCAGCTGCCTGCTAGTGCTGCCTCTCCGCCAATCGGCGATGTCCGCAACTGTGGCTAACCCACCTGTTGCTGTCAACTGGCCCGCAATATACGCGTGCTGAGCGCGAAGCCCTCGCGCGCGCGGCCAGCATGGGGCGCGCCGAGTGCGAGCGTGGGGGGCGTAGGGGCTGTCCCGCCCCCCGCCGCCCGAGCGGACCCCCCACGGCCTGCGGCAGCGCCAGCTGCCCTGGCGCCACCCCCCGAGACCCCCGACGATATGATTTTGAATGACGTGGCCCCCAGAGGTCTCGACGTCGAGACCTCTGGGTGTCACGTCATTCAAAATCATGACGTCGGGGGGAATGGGTCGAGTAACTCGACCCATTCCCCGGGACTGGCTTTTCATCCTGAGTCGTCTTTTGACGCTCCCGGGGCCCGGCCAGGGCCTCCGGAGGCGCGAGTGCCTCGCAAGCGTGCCCCTCTGCATGGCGGACCCCCGCGCGGTGCCCACACCCCGGCCGTCCTGGCCGCAGCTGGCCTCCTGCCCCACAGCTGCCCTGGCCGCGTGGCAGGCGCACCCCGGCCTGGGACAGGCGTTCGGCTTCATCGTGCAGGCCCCCTTGCGGCGGCGGGATCCTTGCCTTCTTCGGATGATGCGCGCATCATGGAGGTGCTGGTGGCTGCTGCGCCTGGGCAGCCGGCTGACCTGGCGGCGTCCACCCTGGTTGGTGGCTGGGGGCGTCCAGCAACAGCAGGAGGCAGGCCTTCCTGCTTCCAGACGGCTCCTCCCCCGCGGCCCTGGCGCTGGTGGAAACCCCTGTGGTCGCCTTTGGTGGCTTCGGGGTGGCCTCATTGGCAGCACTGCTCCATAACGGCTCCGTGGTGCTGCCACTGCGGCCGCCCCCTCGTCGGCTTCGTCACCGACGGCCCTCGTCTGCCCAGTGCCTGGCGTCGCGCCCCCCGTGCCAGCTTCTCCCGCCACGTCCCCGTGGCCGGGCTCCCCCGCGGGATTGCCTCTCCCAACTGGCCCGCCCTTCCTTTTCGGCGGGCCCTCCGCCAGACGCGCCGCTAGCCCGCGCCTGCGCAGCCGCCTCCGGGGCCCCCCGCGGAGGGTTCGTGGAGCTCGCGGCGCGCCTCTGCCGCTGGCTCGGTGGACGGCCACACCGCCCGCTTCCGCCGAGCCCTCCCTGCCCGGGCGGACGGCCGCGCGCTCACGGAGCAGGAGGTCCTCCGGCTGGTCGTCGTCCACCCTGCGAGCGCGCCCGCTCTGCACTGACCCCGCCCAGGGCCACTGGCTTGGAGTCCAACGGGGCCAGGATTGGCCTTGTCATCCGCCACCTCGGCGGAGGCGGCGTGGTCCACGCGTGGCTGAGGCAAGCCAGAAAGTGACCATAGCCAGCAGCTCCGAGGTCCGGGAGTCCCTGCTGTCGGCTACACGCAAGAGTAACCCCGGGTAAGGGTGACCTGTGGTGCGCGGCTTTGGGGGGGCCGCGGGGGAACCGAACACAAGCGCGCAAGACGCTACTATCATCGCGTCGCGTTCGGCGATCGGGGGACCCCATTGGGCCCGCACCAACAATCACTCTGACGAAGGTCACTCCTACGTGTAGCCGACCATCCCCGGCAGCCCCGAGGTCCTGGAGTCCCTGCTGCAAGCGACACTCCCGTGAGACCACCGCGCGGGCGGGCCACCCGCCCCCATGCCCTGGGCCGCGCCACAGGCCCAGAGATCTGAGGCACTGTTTTTTCAGTTCGGGGTCCCTGGAGGTCTCGACCCGTTCCCCGAGATGGTTCTTTTCTCGTCCTGAGCCGTTTCCTCGCCGAGGCCGCAAGCGGCAAACCCTCTCCGCACTGCACTGTTCAGTGCCTTGGCGGTCTGGGAGGGGGGGCGTGCCCCAGCCCCCGGCGCCTGCGGCGTCGGGTGCGCCCCTGGCGCCAGCTGGCCCTGGCGGCCTGGCGCTCCACCTACCCACGCCCGCCGCCGCGGCTGCCCCCACGGGCCCTGCTGCTGCCCCGCCCCAGCGGGCGGCCTGGCGACCGTCCCTGCCGCTGGGCCCCACCGCCGCCGCCGCCGCCGGCAGCTCTGGCCGCTCCCCGAGCGCGGGGCGCGGCCGCCGCCGGGACGAAAGGCTGCCGCTCTCGCGCTGCGAAGCGGCGCCTGCCGTCGCCGTCGCGGGTGTCGTGGTGGTCACTGCCGCCGCGGTCGTGGCGCAGAACTCCCGCAGGTGGCGCGGTGGGGGGATCTGGCTGCGGGGGAAGGGGCATCACGCGCGCAGCTGCGCCGCGCACTTGCGCGCCGCTGCTGGGCCAGGCGGCAGGCGCAGCGCTGCGGAGCCTGGCCCCCCGCAGTGCGGGCACGCGCGCAGGGCAGCTGCCCCACTGCCAGGGCCCCAATTGGGGACGGAGCTGGGCCTGCCCTTTGCCCAGGGCGCCTGCACAACGCGCCTCACGTGGGTGCGCACGACCAGACCAGACCAGGACAGGACAATGAGGAGGGGAAGAGCCTTTCGACCTTTCCGCTGACCCTGAGATCCGACGTTGCAAGACAAGAATAAGGCAGCATCACAGAAGATCACTCCTGGACCCCATCTTTCTGCCCGGCATTCCTGGGCCGGATCGATCTGTGAAGGTCCCAGGCCCCGAAACCAGGCGAACACGCCCGGTGGGAAAAAACATGCAACGCAAGGGTCTCAGGGGATGGGGGAGGAGGATGGAAAGGAGGAGGACGAGGAGGAGGAGGAGGAGGAGGAGGCGGAAAAGGAGAAGGAGCAGGAGCAGCAACAGGAAGAGGAGGAGGAGGAGGAGGAGGAGGAGGAGCAGAACGATGAGGAAGAGGAGGAGGAGGAGGAAGAGGAGGAGGAGGAGGAGGAGAAGGAGGAGGAGGAGAATCAGGAGGGGAAGGAGGAGGAGGAGGAGAAGGAGGAGGAGGAGGAAGAGCAGAGGAGGAGGAGGAGGAGGAGGAGGAGGAGGAGGAGGGAGGAGGAGGAGGAGGAGGAGGGGAAGGGGGAGGAGGAGGGGGAGGAGGAGGAGGAGGAGGAGGAGGAGGAGGAGGAGGACGAGGAGGAGGGGAAGGGGGGAGGAGGAGGAGGAGGAGGACGAGGAGGAGGCGGACGAGGAAGAGGAGAAGGGGGAAGAGGAGGAGGAGGAGGAGGAGGAGGAGGAGGAGGAGGAGGAGGAGAAAGAGCAGGAGGAGAGCCGTTTCATCATTTTCTAAGCGCTCCCAGAGAGCTCCGTCCTGCCCCTCTCGGGCACGTCGGCGCACCTCGCGTGCAGGGCCTGGGCCGCCAGTCTGGCCAGGGCCTTGGAGTTACAGGGCTGGCGCGCACGGGGGGAGGGGGAGCAAGCGGTGGGGGGAGGGAAGAATCCGGGGGACAAACACAGTCGGACTTACGCAGGCCAGAAGGACCCAAATAGCCCCCGAGAGCGCTCGTCGTCGTCGTCGTCGTCGTCGTCGTCGTCGTCGTCGCCGTCGCCATTCAGGGTCGGCGGCACCGGCCGTAAGGCCTTCGGAATACAGTCGGACTTACGTAGGCCAGGAAGGCACCCCTCAAGAACATGAGACCCTCCGTCGGCCAAGCTTAACAGAGCATCTTGAATCTACCCTCCCCTAGATGCACAAGAACCTCCAACAGACACGAAGAACACCAAGGTACCCTCCCACCGAACGGACCTCGATCTTATACCTCGGTCCGGCTGTCGTGACACAAGCACACGGAAACATTCGGAGGACGGCTTGGATTCCTCGGATCGGCACTGGCGCGCCATAGCGCGCTGCGCGCGCCAGGGAGGGAGTGCCAGCGCCCGTTAGCTGCCCTGATAACTACGCAGCACGCGGCACGTGGCGCATTGATGCGGAGCTCGACACGTAGACTGGAACCGCGGGCCTGACGCGATACGCTCGCCAAAACGTGGGCAAATACGCTGAGCCAACACGCAGCTTATTGACGCCGACGTTTTCAGCACGGTGCGTGTTGCGCTTCAAAACGGGCGTATCGATGAAGCTAGGGCCAGAGCCGATCCCAGAAATCAGCGCGGACCTCCGAACTCTTATGTTTAGGTCATTGTTTGCTCCCCAAGGGAACTGGCCAGAGCTCCCTGAGACCTGGGCGCCTGCAACTTGTTCACACCGGGCGCTTCTTCCCTATTTCGGGCCCCAAGGCCCTCACCACTCGATGCGGCCAGAAACGAGCTGCAGGTAGAGGCCAGTCCGTGTAGACAGGATGGGGGGATCGCGCCACATCGCCGATGCATCGCCGATGTGGAGCCTGATGTTCGCCACGCCGACGTCGCCCATGCATCGTCGACGTCGTCGATGCATGGCCGATGCATGCGGCACGGTTCTCCGAACCCATCTCCTCCGACCCCATCTGGGAGGCCTAGAGATGGGGTCCAGGGTACAAGGGATCTCAGGGCCAGACCCCCATCAATTCGTGAACAAAGCTCGACAGAAAGCTTTGATAATAGCTCTCGGCCCCTCGGGGCCGTTGCTGAGCCCCGGGGCCGTCGCAAACAATATGCTCAAAATGAAAAGCCAGTCCCAGGGAAGGGGTCCATACCTGTGGGGGTCCACGCTGTGAAACCATCATCACGAATCACGACGTCGGGGGTCTGGAAGAAAAGGGAGCGGAGACGAATCGGGGAGGGGGGAGGACGGCGAAGAGGCACACTCCATGCCAGCGAGCATAAGTTCCAGAGCAAGAGGCTCATGGGGGACGACTGAGCGGGGCACATCATCGAGCCGACGCAGTCGTCGTGCTGCACCCCTGTGCACCTCCGACGCAGTCGTCCTGCACGGCTCCATAAGGGGCACCTGCTGTGAGCCTGGATGCCTGGAAGCGATGTGGACGGCGCGGCAGTCTAAAATATCTAGTGATGTTACATTGGGCAGGCTGAAACAGAAGAAGCACCAACATAACAATAACCTTCGAAGGTCCGCGCATATTTCTTGAAGCTGCGCTGGTTCGCGAAGCGTGCCAGGGGGGTCCAGCGCAGATCCAAGACACCCACGCGGACCTCCGAACATTGATGTTCATGCCACTTCTGCTTCGATGACAGGCAACTGTGCCACCACTGGGCAGCGCGAAATCCAGTGGTTCTACCATTGGGCAGTACCGACCGCGCAGCTAACCACGTTAGATGCTCGTTCTGGGGACCTTCTTGGAGCCACTCACCCCACTCCTGCGTCGAATCTGCGTCGAACGTTCGTCGACTCGAGTCGAGCCTGAGTCGAACTTGAGTCGAACCCGAGTCCAACCTGCGTCGAACCTGCGTTGAACCTGAGCCGAACTTGAGCCGAACTGGGGCCGAAGAGATCCAGCAGGTGGGCCCCAGAAAGGTCCCCCAAACGAGCGTCGAAACCACGGTTCTGGGCTGCGGGCGCAGGCGCACGCAAGGCTCACGCCGCCCTCGTCGGCGGGGTCATCCTTCCCCCAGACCCGCTCGCCGCTTCCACCAGCGCTGGCGCTGGTGCAGGGACCGGCCTCTTGCCTGCGCTAGCTCGCCTTCGCCTGCCTAGAGAAGAAGAGGGCTACGCGTACACAGACTCGGAGGTCCGCGCGGATCTCTTGGCTCGGTGCCGGGCCCCCCCTCCCCGGCACGCCGAGCACGCCCACGGCGGTGCCAAAGGCGCCTTCAGCGCCGACGCCTTCCGCGCGGACCTCCGAAAGTTTGTGCTCACGGCAGGCTCGTGCCGTGTCGATCCCGGCCGTGGTTCCTGACACGGCGGGGATCGCTCCGCCTTGAACGACCGGCCGTTTCCCAAACGTCAGATTGTTCAGCATCGACCGACTCTGCGTCGCTGGCGGCGTTCCCAGACCCCCGACGTCATGAATTTTTCATGACGTCGACCCCCAGCGGTCTGGACTCATTCCCCAGGACCGGTTTTTCGTCCTGAGTCGTTTTTTGACGCTCCCGAGGGCCGGTAAGGGCCCCCAGAGGCCAAACATAATGAAAAACTTCCCGTCGTGATTTTTTCATGACTCGAGGGGGTCTGGGTTTGACGCTGAAACGCCGGCGGCGGGGTCGCCGCAGTGCGACACGGCGCGACCCTGCCGCATGAGGTTTCTGCCCTCGGCGCCTGCGCCGGCCCGGCCTCGCCCGCCGAATTACTCCTGCGGCGGCGAGCCCGCGGGGGGGGGAAGCGAGCAGGGGCGAGCCCTGCTCGGAAGGCTCGGAAGTCCCCCGGCCTTCCGAGGAGCTCCCCGGGCCTCCCCTTCGGGGAAGCGAGCAGGGGCGAGCCCTGCTCGGAAGGCTCGGAAGTCCCCCGGCCTTCCGAGCAGCTCTCTGGGCCTCCCGCTCGAGGGCGCGGGGCACTTCTCCGCATGCGCGAGGGCCTCCGAGAGAGAAGTCCCGCCGCCTCCTGAGAGGGCCTCCTCCTGCTCGCTTCCCCCCCCCCCTCGCCCGCCGACTCCTCGTCGGTCTCCTCGGCGCAGCTCTCGCCGTCCTCGGACTCCGAGTCGTCCTGTCTCGCGGCAGGCGAGGCGGGCGGGCCCCCCGACGGAGAGCGGGCCCTCGAGGTCCCTTAAGGGCCTTCCCCCGGCCGGCGAGGCCCGGAGGGGGTGTGGCTCTTGTGCGCACGGTGCGGCCTGCAGCCCGCGCCTCTGGTTTCAGGTCGAGCAAGTCCTCCTGCAGGCGGATCTTGGAGGATAAGGAACAGAAAAAGTGATACAACAGAATTCAAAAATGATAGACAACAGTCGAAACATCGTCCCCGGACTATGTTTGAACGACTTGTTAACATTCCTCCTGTATACATGGGGGATATTAACAAATCGGGCATGTCCCTCTATAGAGGGCCATGCTCCTTTATCGAATATACCCCCACAGTTAAGTCGGGCATGTCCCTCTATAGAGGGACATGCCCGACTTAACTCTGGGGGTGCGGGCGAGGGCTCGGGAGGCGACTGCTGGGAGGGCTTCGCCAGAAGGAGGTCGGGAGGGTTGAGCCCCATCGGGGGGCTGTTGCAGCTGGCCCGTATCATAAGGATGCGCGATAAGGATGCAAGGGCCTTGGGCGCCCATTCCGAAGCTTCTCGAGCGGGGCGCGGCCAACGAAAGTGGCGGAGGTTGGGCCGAAGGGGCAAGGATGCAAGGGGTACCCTCGGGAAGGTTGCCCATCCTTGCTATGCGGGTTGACTGTAGGGAGGCTTGAGCCCCATTGGGGGGCTGCTACGCCGGACTAGGCCTCGGATTGCAAGCGGGATGGAACCGGACTTCAACGGCATTGAGCTCGATTGAGCGGGATTGAAAGGGATTCAGCCGGATTTCGGACCAGGGCAAAGCCAGACTGTGACCTCCCGAGAGTGGCATCCGAAGAGGACCTCAACGAAGATCTCGGCCGCGCCCCGACGAAGGCTCATCAAAAAACCTGTGGCGCATCGTGAGCGACGACAAGAAGCGGGCCTTACGCGAGATGACTTATAGCGACCTTGCGCGGTGGCCTACGCGGGCCGACAGAGCGGCACGCTGCACTGGAGACGAGGGCGCTTACGCGCGACCTTCCGCGGGCAGCTTACGCGCCAATGTCGACGCAGACGACCCCCTTTTTTGCGTCGCCCACGTGGTGACCCCCTTAAGCCCCAACGGCGCCGATCACAGACCAAACCACGGCGCAAACACACCCTCTGTAGCCGAAGACCCCTCTGGGAGGCCCGAGGTGGAGATGAGCTCCGGGACGGCGGCTCGCCCGCCCGGCCCACGCCCGCTCCAAACTCCCAAGCAGACCCCGACCGAGGCCCATCCCGGCACGTCTTTGTTCGAAGCGGGCCCCGGCCGTGGCGACGAGCAGCCGCGAGAGGGGAGGCCCGGGAGAAGAGGGGAAGCGCCTGGGCAGGGCACCGCGGGGCACCGCGGGGCCCCGCAGCTGTCGCGACTGGGCCTGCTCCGAGGGACCCGCTTCACTCGAATTTTGCTTTGGGCCCAAAGATCTTTTTGGGACCATTCTTTGGTCCCAGCTTGACCCGTCCCCAGGCATGCGATGTCCTATTCTGTCCAGTACACGTTTGGACGTCCAACAAAAACGGGCCCGATGCCGAGCAAGGGAGGCTGTCCAGAGTCCGACAGCGGCCGCTTTTCGGCAGGCGGCCTTCTGCCTAGAATGGACAACTCCTGTGGCGACACCGACAGCACGTCCGGTTCAAGATGAAAAGGCAATTCTGCCAACCTTCGCACCCCACTCTTCCCGCACCCTTGTCGATCGGGGCCCCGAACCCACCCAGGACCGGGTGCTGTAATTATTTGACGGCCCCTGGGCCAGGCGAGGGCCCTGGATGCTGAAAACGGCACAAAAAAACCCGGCTGCTGATCTCGCAGCACGGGCATGTTTGGTTTTTCGGGCCACATCTCCGCCCTCCGGCGGCCCTTCGGGACGGACCCTGGTAACCGCTGGAACGCCCTCGGCGAAGCGCAGCTGCTGGAGAGCATCCCGGGGCTGGAAAGCCGCCGAGGGTCGTCGGAAGCACTCGAAAACGCGGGGGCCCCGAGAGGCCGAAAATGGGCAACAACCTCGCGGTCGCATTTTTTTTTACGAGGCGAGCTTGTCTGGGAACTTGCCCTTCTCTGGCCATCGTTACCAAGACGGCCTGGGCGGAGGCTGGCGAAAAAAAATGCAACGCCCAATGTGAAAAAACGGCAACGCCGGGATCTCAGGGACGGCAGCTCGTCTATACTTGCACGAAAGAAGCACCTCCTGGGAGATCGGGCTGTCAAGCCCGATTTGGCCATTCAGCTGGCTGGATTTGTCTGGATTTGGGCCAGGAGCCTTCCGCTGCACTTTAGTTATGACGCGAGCATGTCTGGGACTGCGTCGCGGCGAGGTCCTCCGACCCTGACTACTCGGACCCCCTGTGGGGGGCCTGAACAAGTGGAGAGCCCATGTAGGGCCTGTGTTCAAGGCCTGAAGTGGAGGGCCCCCAGAAGCCAAAAACGGCAAAACACCTTCCGTCGTGGCTTCTTCCCGACGCGAGCATGTCTGGGGCTCCTCCGAATCAAGGCACCGATGCCGCTACTCCCCGGATCTCTCCCAGGGTGCGCTTTGACCAGAATATCGAGGCGAATCTAGCCGTGGCGACGAGGGCATCTCACGAGGCCCCAAACAGCGAAACTTAGTCAATGGTAGCGGTATCGGTGAACCAGCCTCGAACCGATCCCCCTATCCCTAAACCTTCCGTCGTGATTTTTCACGACGCGGGCAAAGAACCCGATTTGTCATCACTCGCGATAACGCCCGTGACCAGCATCGCCCACACTCCCGCCCACCCCTGGTCATATCACGATTCGCGCCGTGACCGGCCTCCTCCCTGCACCCCCCAAGGTCACGCCCATTACCCAGAGATCCGATGTATCTTGTTTGTTTCCCCACGGGGCGCCTGAACGTCCCGAGCCTCTCCCCAGGACCGACTTTCCATCCCGAGTCGTTTGCTGACGGCCCCGAGGCCTGGCAAGGGCCCCCAGGGGCCGAAAATACTAACAAACAAACGAAAAACCACGGCATGCATGTTTCCACGACTCGAAAGGGAGTGGGTTATCGTTGGAGGCCTGGAAATGGGCACCAACACCAACACAGGGGACTTCCTCCACAGGGGGAAGACAATCCTAGATTTCGGTGTTTGGTGGTGCTATGTCGGTCACCTTGGCAGCCAGCATACTACCACCATCATCGAGATCGGGATCTCCTTCCCGTGGTGGAGCCACTCTGCCGATATTGGTATTGGTGTCAACCTCTGGGCCTGCGAGAGTGGGTTTATTGCCCAGGGAGAGCACGACGCGCGATCGTGTCTGCTGGGGTCTGCTGCGCGGCGCGCGCCACGTCTGGGCTCTCGGGCCGCAGCTCGGCTCTCTGGCGGCCCCTCGAGGGCGATCCCCGGGCCCCCCGCCCCCAAGAAGCCCCGCGGCGGGGCGCAGCTGCTGGAGAGAGCACCCCGAGGCTGCAGCACTGCCGCGAACCGGTGGAAGCGCTCGCAGGCCTTCCGTCGTGCTGTGCTGTGCGACGCGCGCATGTCTGGGGTGCGTAGCAGCCTCCGGGGTGGCCTTGCCCGTGCCGCCGTGGCCCTGAAGCCCAATAAGCGTCGAATCCGTGTCGAATCCTTGTCGAATCCGTGTCGAATCCGCGTCGAATCCACACCAAATCCGCGTCGAGACCACATGGAGCCCGCGCCGGGCACGAGAAATATCTCAGAATCACAAAAGACATAAACATGAACTTGTGGCGCTCCGCGCGGATTTCTTGGATCTGCGCTGGACCCCCTCCCTGGCGCGTGGAGCGCGCCAGGGGCGGCGCCAGGGGCGGCGCCAGGGGCCCCGCCAGGTGGGGCCCAACGCCGATCAAAGAATTTTGCGCGGAGCCCCAATAGCTTATGTTTATAGCGCTCTTTCTTCTTCGATGTCTGCGAGGGACAGGCGAAGCCCCCCGAAGATGCAACGTGCGTCTGGGGACCCGTGTTTTGTTGTGCGACGCGCGCAGGCTGGTGAGCAGCAATAAGCGGACCCCTAACCCTTTGGGAGGGGGCCGGAGTCAGGAGGGCCAAAAACATCAGGGATAAAAGGGGTCTTCTCTGCAGCTGTACCGAGCCAAACCGCCCAGAAGGATTGTCCTGAGTGCAAAGATGGGGACCTCAGTGAGGCCACGTCTTCAATATCTTATGAGGGCCAAGGGTTTTCTTACTCTCGATGATCTTTGGGAACCCAAAGGGTACCGATACCGCTCCTCCCTGGACCTCTCCCGGGGTGCGTTCTGGACCAAGATTTCGGGGTGAATCCAGCGGTGGCGACGAGGGCCTCCCAGGAGGCCCAAAAAGGGAGAAACCCGGGAAGGGTGTAGATCGCATGGGTATGCCGTCTCCTCCTCTGACATCCGCGGGCCCCTCTGCCGCGCGGCGAGGTCCTCGCCGTCGGAGCTGCTGCTCCCGGACTCCTCCTGCACGGGGGCCTGGCGCGGCAGGTTGCGCGGCCTCGAGGGCTGCTGCGCCCTGCCGCCCGGGCCGCCGGGGGGCTTCTTGGGCACGCAGTACACGGGCTTCGCGCAGGGGTACTTGTAGCCCTGGAGGAGCGGGGCCGGAGATTCCCCTCGAGCCGCGAGGAGCAGTCGGCGGCGGGAGGTGCCTCGCGGTGTTCGACCTCCGGGGGGCCCTCGCCAGGCCTCGGGGCGGTCCAGGGAGGACTCGGGGCGAAGAGCGGGTCCCAGGGAACGGGTCGAGGCCTCTGGGGGTCGACTTCAGGAAGCGATCGTGACGCCGGGGGTCTGGTGAACTTGCGGGTTCGCCCATGGACCCATTCTTACCAACCGCTCCGTGGCCGTCTTCGGCGGGCCTCGAACGATTTTCGGCGGTGTTCTGACGGTTTCCAGCGGCCTTCGGCGCGAGAGCTCGATGGTTGTGGTCAAAAAAATCATGATCGAACACTAACGGGAGGACAAACAACCACGAGGAATCGGGGTTAGATCTATATAGATCGAGGATCGCGGCTATCTGGCGTTTCTATGAATTCGCGGTGGGTTTGCAGCCTCGGGATGCTCTACAGCAGCTGCGCCGCGCCGAAGGCGTTCAAGAGTCGTCCCGATTTTCCCGAAGGGACGCCGGAGAGCCGAGTTATGGGCCGAAGCCAATAATAGTATGGCGCCCCGTCGTGGAACAATAACCCAGAAACACTATGAGTTTGACAATTTTGCTCGGCCTCTGGAGGCCCTCGCCACGCCCTGGGACCGTCAAAATCGGGATGGCAACGCAGGCCATATTAGGGAAGGGGTCGGGACGTCTGCGGACTCCATGTCGACAAAAAAAATCGGATGTCTGAGCTCAGGCCCCCGACAATACAGGCCTCAGAAACAAATAGCGAACACTCATGCCACATTCATTTGTCAACGCCTCCCCCCCCCCCCCCAAAAAAAAAAAATCAGAGTTGGCGGTGGGTCTGAGGAGTTGCACTTCGACCGTAATCTCCCCCGCGCGTGCCAGCCTTGAAGTCGAGGGAGAAGCAATGTTCGGCAATTGATTCCCTCGACCGTGCAGTCGGACCTAGGCCAGAAGAACATCCTGCAAGAACATGAGACCCTCCGTCGGTCAAGACAAACAGAACATCCGATGGTAATTACCCCCCCCCAGGATGCACAAGAGAATCCAACAGACACGAAGGGCACCCTCCCCGAACCGATCTCGATCGTAGAACCTCAGCCCGACTGTGTTCGGTCGTGGTTTCCCCCTTCCTCCTCCTCCTCCTCCTCCTCCTCCTGCTGCTGCTGCTGCTCCTCCTCCTCCTCCTCCTCCTCCTCTCTCCTCCTCCTCCTCCTCCTCCCCCTCCTCCTCCTCCTCCTCCTCCTCCTCCTCCTCCTCCTCCTCCTCCTCCGCCCTCCTCCCCCTCTCTGCTGCTCCTCCTCCTCCTCTGCCCCCTCCTCCTCCTCCTCCTCCTCCTCCTCCTCCTCCTCCTCCTCCTCCTCCTCCTCCTCCTCCTCCTCTGTCAACCGGCGCCTGTTCCTCGATTTCGACCCTGGGGGGCGCGCCGTCGGGCCCCGTGGGCCAGTCGGCACGGACCCGGGACGACACCACGCGGTAATTAGGGGAACGATCGAAACCTTTGTGAAGGGGCCCGGCAGGGCCCACAAAGGCAGAGACACAACTCCTAGGATTCCCAAGGTCTTCCACATGTGCTGGATGCCCCCCATTCTCCCACGTGCTCCCAGATGTTTCTGTCTCTAGGGCCGCGAACGGCTGGGAGAGCAGCAGATCGGCGGAAGTCCGGGGACGTCGGCACACCCGGAAGGCATGGGGCCGCATATTTTCCACGGCGGGCGTCTTCCGCCCGGATCCGGGCCTCGGGGCCTCCGCAAGCGAATGCGGCTCGAGCAAAGTAGCAGAGAGAGATTGGGGAGACCAGAAGGTACCCAGCATAATGCTACTCCCCGGACCTCTCCCGGGGTGCGTTCTGACCAGGATTTCGAAGCGAATCCAGCGGTGGCGACGAGATCCTCCCTCAGGAGGCCCCCAAAGGAGACAACGAGGGAAGGCTAGCAGTATGGAGTATGGGTACCCTCATCTCCTCCGAGAGATGGGGTCTAGGGCTTCAGTCGTGATTTCTTAAGATGCTTCAGTTTGTCCGCGACGCCGAATCTCAAAGCAAACATTGACGTTCGGAGGTGCGCGCGGCTATCCTGGGTCGGCGCTAGACCCCTTTCTCCCTACACCCCCATCATTGCACGCGGAGCGTGAGCGTGCGCGCGAGTGGGGGTCCAGCGCCGACCCAAGAGATCCGCACGGACCTCCGAAGGTGCAACCAGACACAAATATCCGACCTTTTTTGAACTGTCTTTGAATACGGGGTCCCCTCATCCCGGGCCATTTCTTGACGGTCCTGGGGCCCAGCGAGTGCTTCCTGAGACAGAAACCAGCCACGAACTTCCCGCCGTGACGCGGGCATGTCTCCCTGACTCTCCACCGTCCACACCTTCCGACCAGCAGGTGGCTGATTTACATATCTTCTCGAGGGACAAAGCCTGGCACAAACGTTTGAATATTCGGAGCTCCGCGCAGATTCCTTGGATTAGCGCTGCACCCCCTCCCCAGCGCGCGGAGCTCGACGGGGGCGGCGCCGGAGGCGCCGCCAGGAAGATCCAGCGCTGATGCAAGAAATCCATGCGGAATTCCACGAGCTTGCGCCAACGTATGCAATGTATTGCCCCTCGAGAAGGTTGCGGAATCAGCCACCTGCTGGTCGGATGGCGTGGAACGTGCTGCTCTTAGGTCGGGCATGTCCTCCTACAGGTGGAGTTCACAGGAACTACAACAAATAGTCGAAAAACCATCGGAAACGCTCCCTGATTATGTTGTGACTCTTGTTGGATCTTCCTCCTGCAGAGGGACATGCCCGACTGAATTCTGGGTGGTGCTCGGCCTGCGCCTGCCGCTGCTGCAGGCCCTGCGAGGCCTGCACTCCCTGCGAGGCGCGCCCCTGCAGCACGCCGCCGGCGCCGCCCGGTGCCCCCGGCCGCGCCGCCGCGGGGCGAGAGCTGGCTGCGGCTGCGGCCCGCTGCTGCAGCGCCTTCGGCTACACATAAAGAGTGACTGACCCTCTGCATAGGGGGAAGAAGAATGACGTGCACATAAAAAATCGGAAGTCCGCGCGGATTTCTCGGATCGGCGCTGGGGCCCCCCGGCGGCGCCTCCGGCGCCGCCCCTGGCGCGCTCCGCGCGCCAGGGAGGGGGGTCCAGCGCCGATCAGAGAAATCCGCGCGGACCTCCGAGTTCTTATTTGGCGGCGCGCAAAGGGGGGTAGGGGGAGGGGGAAGGCTTCTTAGAAGGAGACTGCTTCTTAGAAGCCCCCGGCCCCGGCCTTACATTTTCAGACAAGGCCCGCGCCTTCTAAGAAGCAGGGGTGCTTCTAAGAAGCCTTCCCCCCCCCCCCTACCCCCCTCTGCGCGCCGCCAACTTATGTTCATGCCATTCTTCGTTCCCCGCTCCTGGGCAAGAGCGGCCTTTGGTGCGCGGCCTGCCAGCCGTAGCGTGCGGTGCGGCAGTGCCGGCCTGCGTGCTTGGGCCTGGCCCCGGCCTGAGAGCCGCGCACCAGAGCCGACCAGCCATAACTAGGGGAGCTGTGGTCCTTACCCCCCTGGGGGAACCCATCGCATCGACGATCTCTCGAGAGGGGTGTCGAAATCCATGGGCCCCCCAGGGGGGTATGGACCACAGCTCCCCCAGTTGTGGCTGGCCTGCAGGTCCTTCCCGCGAAGGGCCACTCTCACGTGCAGCTGGCGCCTGGCGCGGCTGAGAAAGCGCTCCGTCGCAGGCGGCCGCCGCCTTCGTTCCAGGCTGCTGCCTCGCGGGCGGCATCGGCGTGGAAGCACCTGGCAGGACGCCGAGCGTGGACCTGTGCGCCGATCCTGGCCAGGCCCGTCCTCGGCACAGGATGGGCCGTGCCGGGATCGGCGTACAGGTGCAACTGCACCTTCCGTCCCCCGAAGCACCCGAGTTCCAGCCAGAGGAGCCGGTGGTCGCAGTGGCCTGGGCTGCGGAGTTGACCGTGGAGCAGAAGCTCGTGGTGGACGACTCGCGGGACAAGTGGCCAGGCGGGGCACCCGCCCCGCCGCCGCCGCCGCCGCCCTCGTCGCACCTCCAGCGCTCCTCGCGCATGAGGGAGGCCAGCAAGTTCTGCTTCAGCCGCTTGCGGCGCTGCTTCTCGCCGGGCGGGCACAGGTGGCAAAAGGGGCAGTCCGGGCCCCCGTGGCACCCCTTGGTGTGGAAGAACACGCAGGGCTTGCACCGGCCCGCCGCGTGGAGGCGGCTGCCGGCAGAGAGAGCCTGGGGACACCAAAAGGTACCGATGCCACTGCTCCCTGGACCTCTCCCATGGCACGTTCTGACTATGGTTCCGAAGTGAATCCAACCGTGGTTCAAAAAGACCCTAAACACGGCAGTGGTAGCGGTATCGGCACCTCCTCTGGGATCCGACGCTGTGAACAAAAGCACAAACAAATACGACCGGAGACCTAGACGCCTTCTTTCTGCGGCGCTTCTCTAGGCGGATCGATCCGTGAGGGTTCTCGGGCACGAAGCCGCGCTTAAACGCCTGGTACGAAAAAAAGCAATGCCCGGATCTGAAGTTCACAGACATGCGATATCCTACTTTTATACGGGGTCCCTAAAAGACCCGATCCCTTCCCCAGGAGGCTGTTTGCTTTTCAATCGGCGATGACCCGGGTTATCCTGGGGGGTGGCTGGCCGATAACCTAACCTTCGCGCTGCGGGCAGCCGTACATATGCCCGAGCGCACCGGTGCTGCGGCCCCTACAGCTGCTAACGATGCTCCGACGATGCTGCTATTGGTGCTGCGACGATGCGTGCGCCGTCTGAGAATGCCCAGGGCTATGCCCAGACAGCTAACATTGGGATGCGCGGGATGGGATTGTTGAGAGTGGTCGCAGAACCCTGTGTACACTACACTATAGCGCACGCGTGCATGACAATGCCTGTGAACACTGCAAAGAATACGTTCGCCACAACGCTCCTGTACACCACAGGTGACCCAGAAGATTCAGCTGGCACAACAGCCGCGTGCACCTGTGCGCATGGCGAAAATTTGCGCCACAGAGCTTCCGTGCACCTCCAAGGTCCCGACGGGACCCAAATTTGGACAATCGCGGGGGGGGCCCGAACGTGTGAAATCCAATCTTTATGATATTTGGAATTCTGGATTTTTCTGGCCCCGGATACGGTCCCCCCGTTTGGGGCTGACAACGTCTGTGCACACCACAACGCCTGTCTAGTGTACACCACAACGAGGCGCCTTTGTACACCACAGCCGCTTGTGTACACCGCAGCGCCTGTCCACACAACAGTGCCTATGTACACCACAATGTTTGTGTATACTACAGCAGCCGCGTGCGCCACAGCGCCTGTGTACACGCCGATGTTTATGCAAACCACAAGAACCGCATGCACCACAACGCATGGCGAACATTTGCGCCACAGCGCTTCCGTGCATCTGGAAGGTCCCGGCAGAATCCAAATCAAGACAATCGTCGGGGGCCCGAACGTATTATATTCAATAGCTAAGCTATGTGTGATGATTGATGTTCTTGACCTGGGGTGCGGTCCCCCCCCTGGTTTGGATCCTACCATGTCTGTGTTCACCACAATGCCTTTTCTAGTGCAGGCCACGACGCTTTAGCACACCACAGCTTTTTGTGTACACCGCAGCGCACGTCTGCAACACAATGCTTGCGTACACCGCAATGCCTGTGTACACTACTGTAGCCGTGTGAACCACAATGCCTGTGTACACCACAGCGCCTGTGTACACTGCGACGCTTATGTGCACCACGGTTGCTGCTTCAACACCATGTGTAAACTTCAGCGCCGGTTCACCAAACTGCTAGTGTACACCACAGACCTGCGTACATGTCCAAGGCGACGGCGGAACCGAAATCCGAAGGAACCAGTGCCCAGCGCCCGAGTACACCACAGCGTGTGGAACACCGCAATGACCGTGCACCACCGTGCTTCTGCACACCACCATGCCTCGGATGCCTGCGTGAAGCATCACTGATATTGCAGCAACAGTTGTGTACACCACAACGTCTGTCTACCGCATAATGCCTGGGTGCATCACGATGCCCTCGTGCACCGCGCGGCCTGAGTACACTACGCTTGCGTGCACCACAACGCTTTCGCACACAACAGATCCTGCTGCAGCAGCAACGCGTGCACCACATCGCCTCGCTGCCTGTGCACAACGCGCATGCCTGAGGACGTGCTGCTCACGTGCAAATCCGGATGCCTATGGACGATGTCGGTCGTCGTCGTCGTCGTCGTCGTCGTCGTCGTCGTCGTCCAAGGCCCAACGCTTCACCAACGTGCATCCAAACACCAGCATGCTGTTGCGAACACCACTGCGCCGTTGAGGACAACACTCACTGCGAGCTCGCTGCGCCCCCCTCCCTGGGAACTGCAGAACCAACAAAATTAGGTTATCCTGGGCGGGGGCGAACCCGATAACCTGGTTTATCGCTAGATCCCAAACAAAAGAACAGCTTTCCGGGCCGGTTCTTCATCTCGACTCAATTTTTCACGATCCCAAGGCCTGGCGAGAGCCCCAGAAGCCGAAAATTAACAAAACCTTCCGCCGTGATTTTTCCACGACGCTTGCGCATGTCTGAAATGTTGAGGGAAGCCAGACGTACCGATGCCGTTGCTCCCTGGACCCCTCCCGGGGTGCGTTCTGACCAGGATTTCGAAGCGAATCTAGCGGTGGCGACGAGGGCCTCCCAGGAGGCCGAACGAGGGGAAAACGAGGGGCGGATAGCGGTACGGGTACCTTTTCCTCCACTGAGGCTTCTCCCAGGAGGCCGAACGAGGGGAAAACGAGGGGCGGATAGCGGTACGGGTACCTTTTCCTCCACTGAGGCTTTCCTCCTCCGAGAGCCGCGGGCGACCCCTGGCCGGCCTCCCAGGCCTCAGCGGCGCCAGCGACGGAGCCGCCGCCGCCGCCGCCGCTGAGCGGCTGCGGCCCGGCCGCCGCGGCGGCGGCCGCACCCCCACGGGCCGCGCGAGGCACCGCCGCGTCCCGCGCGCGGGCGCGGCCCCCGGCGGCGGCCGCCTTGGAGGGCCCGAGCGCCTTGGCGGCCTCCGCGGCGGCCAGCTGCTCCTCCTCCTCGTCCTCCTGGCGGCGCGCAGCCCAGAACCCTCGTGCTGCCAACAGAAACACGACCCCAGACCCCCATCGCGTCGTGAAAAAAGCGTGACGAAAGGTTTTTCGCTACTTTCGGCCTCCAGGGGCCCTCGCCGGGCCTCGGGACAGTCAAACACCGACTCGGGAGGAAAAGCTGGTCCCTGGCAAGGGATCCAGGCTCCTACAGGATGGGGGGCCACGCCGCGACAAAACCCACGACGTCGGGGGTCTGGGACGGGAGGCTGTCCGCCAGGCTCGGCCTCCAGGGCCCCCCACCGTAGGCCCACGGCGTCGGGGGTCTCGGGACGGGGGGCTCCTCCGGAGATCCCGGCGCTGCAGCTTCTCCAGCCCGGGCGCCCTCGCCCCGGCTGCGGGCCCCGGGCTCCGCGGTTCGATGGTGGCGCAGGAAGATGGGATCTGGGGCTCCAGCGGTGATTCTCCGCGATGCTTCGTTGGTTGCGCGACGTCGGATCACAGGGGCTGAGGCAGCCCCCCAGACATGATCGCGCCATGAAAAAGTCAGGACGAGGGATTGTTGGCCGTTTTCGGCCTCGTGGGGCCCTCGTCGGGCCTCGGGACCATCAAGAAATGATGTTGGACGAAAGACTGGTCCCGGGGAAAGAGTCCGGACTTCCAGGGACCCCGTATTGAAAAAATCAAGATGCCCTCCTCCTCCTCGTCCTCCTCCTCTTCGTCTTTTTCTTAATAGTATTATTAATCTAATCATTATTATTATTATTATTATTATTACTAGTATCATCATTATTATTATTAGTAGTAGTATTATCATCCTTATTATTATTAGTGGTAGTATTATTATTATCATTAGTATTACTATTACTAGTAATATTATTATTATTACTCGTATTAGTATTACTATCTTTATTATTATTACTACTAATAATAATATTATACGTATTCTTAATCTTAATATTCTCATTCATATCATCATTCTTATTATTATGATTCGTCTTCTTCTTCGTCTTATTGGATGCGTTCTTCTTCCTCCTCCTCCTCCTCCTCCGCCTCCTCCTCCTCCTCCTCCTCCTCCTCCTCTCCTCGCCTCCTCCTCCTCCTCCTTCTCCTCCGCCTCCTCTTCTCCTCCTCCTCTCCTCCTTCTTCTCCTCGTCCTCCTCGTCCTCCTCGTCCTCCTCGTCTCCTCGTCCTCCCCCCGTCCTCCCCCTCCCCTCTCCCCCTCCTCCTCCTCCTCTCCTCCTCCTCCTCCTCCTCCTCCTCCTCCTCCTCCTCCTCTACAATTACTCAATATGAAAATACTCTCCCTTCAGGGCCCCGTAGACCCGGACACGCTAGACCCGGACACCCAACATCCTTCGAAACCAATTTTTCCAAACGGCGGCACGAACAAAATACTGCACAGCAGCACTTCCAGAATAAACCCGGACACAGGCCCCAAAAGCCTGCAAGACATCCCTAAACCCGGACACAAACCCGAATCCTGCAGTGCAGCAAACAAAACGTGCACGGGCGCTGAAAAACGTACTTTGCAGGGAAGGATGTCGTTTCCTTGGTTTTCCGTGTCCTGGTTTATCTGTGTCCTGGTCTCTGGGGGCCTGATCCCTCTTCCCCTGATGGCGTCCGGGTGATGGCCGCGCACCCTCCGCGTACTGTTTTTTACACACAGGATCCCCGGGAAATCCCGGGAAACGACTCTCGCTGAGGCGCCGGCGTCATTTGTTCCCAACATGCTGCTCTCGTTGAGGCGCCGGCCTCATTTCTGCTCCCGAATCGTTCCGAATCGTGCTCCCGCGGCAGCGTGGGCCTCATTTTCGGATCGGTGTTTGGCCTCCGTCGTTCAGGATGGCGTTCTCGCCCCAGCGCGGGCCTTTTCCTCGCGCGCCCATCCGCCCGCCACCACCGCGCCGCACCGCCACCACCACCACCACCACCACCACCACCACCACCACCACCACAACCACCACCAGCACCAGCACCAGTACCAACACCACCACCACCACCACCAGCACCACCACCACCACCATCACCACCACCACCACCACCACCACCACCACCACCACCACCACCACCACCACCACCACGACAACCACGCACACACGCACGCACGCACGCACGTGCACCACCACCCACTACGCACGCGCGCGCGGAGCCACAGGTCCGCTACGACACGCGTCCGCGGATAGAGAAAATCAGCGCCATGGTAAGGGATGGAGGGAGGGGTAGGACGTCAGATATGACGCGAGCGCACCTAGCTTGTCCCCCTCCCCCTCCTCCTCCTCCTCCTCCTCCTCCTCCTCCTCCTCCTGCTCCTCCTCTCCCTTCCCCTCCTCCTCCTCCTCCTCCTCCTCCTCCTCCTCCTCCTCGTCCGCCTCCCCTTCCTCCTCCTCCTCCTCCTCCACAAGCTATATGCCCTGCACGCGGACAGCGTGTCGCTCCGCTCCGCGTGGCGGGGAGGCTGGAACGAGTTCGGAACGTGGACGCTTGGAAGTGGGGTCGTGGATAACGTGCCACGCCGAAGCGTAGTGGACCAGAACCGGCGGACCGACCACATCACCCCTCCCCTTACGACACGCTCGGATGGGCCAATGCCCTCTCCGGCGGCTGGTCGTCGCCAAGAGCCGGAAGGCACAGCTGACCTCACATGATGAGGGCGGCCTTCCGCGGGACTGGGCCGCGGCCGCCGAAAGACGATCTGCACATGCCGATCCGCCCCGGTGCCGTGTCGCGGCAAAGGCCCCAGCGACACGCCGTGCCTTGCGAGCGGATAGCGTGTCGCTCAGCTCCGCGAGGCGGGCGGCCAGCAACATCTCGAGACGTGGGCGCCTGGAGGCCAGGCTGGAGGCCAGGCCGGCGTCGCCCCAAAAAGGGCGGTAGGCCAGCATCGGCGGCGCGGCGCGCTGAGCCAGAAGTCCTGACCGTAGGTGGTCTAGGGCATGCGCTCGTCCCAGACACTTCACTCCGACGTTGGAGGCGGCTAGGGCGTCTAGAAAAGCTATCAAGAATGGGGGATAAGGACAACTCCGTCCAAGAGCGGCGTCCCCGGGGGGGTGAGCGCAAAACATGGCCGGCGGCATGTGCGCAGCCCAAGGGGGGGGCCGGGGACGCATTCAAATAAGACGAGGCGCCACGAAATCAGGGGAGGTATCGTGGCCCCCGCCGCGATGTCCACCCCCTAGTCGTCCCCCCCCCTCTTTGCCGCCCCCGGCAAAATCGCTCCCTCGACCCTCCTGGGGCCCACACCCGGTGCAGTTTTTCACCCCGGATCCGCTCTTGGCGGCCCCATGGGCCCGACGACGGCCCCGGAAGGTCCGAAAGGCACGCAAAAACCTGGCCGAACCCAGCGCCCCGAACTGCCCCTCAGCTCCGACGACCCACGCCGCGCCTGGTACTCCAGGCCGGGTAACGACCGTAGCCTGGACCCCATCTCTCTGCGCCACTCGACGAGCGGGATCGACCTGTGAGGTTCCTGGAGCCCGACATCGAACGAGGTCGCCCGGTGTGAAAGCCTTGCCACGCCCGCACCTGAGGGCACCGAGGCTCCCGAACCACTCCGTCCCTGGGCCTCCTAATGTTTTGAGCCGGATCGATCTGTGAGTCTCCCAGGGCCCGAAATCGAACGACATCGCCCGGTGAAAAAGCATCGCAACGCGAGGGTCTCAAGACTCCCGACCCCCAGGCCCAGGACGTGTTTTTTTCCTTCTCCATGACACGACCCCTCAGAGTCTGGACCCCTTCCCTGGGGACCGGTTTTCATCCGAGTCTCTTTGACGCTCCCGGAGGCCGAAACTATAGCGAACAGCCTCCCGCCGTGATTTCTTTTCACGACGCGAGGAGCTCTGGGACCGCCCCGTCCGTGGGCCTCCTGGCGTCGTCGTCGTCGTCGTCGTCGTCGCCGTCGTCGTCGTCGTCGTCGTCGTCGTCGTCGTCGTGCGGTCCTCCTGCGACGCGTCGTCGTCGTGCGCGTCCGCCCAGCTCGCCACCCGCTGCAGCGACGGCCGCTCGGCGGCCGGCGCCGCCGCCATGGTGGCGGTCACGCACAGGGCGGGGCGGCGCGCAGAGGAGCGGAGCGCCGAGGCGGAGCCCCGGCCACTCAGCGGGGCTCCATCTCGCCCTCGTCCTCCTCCTCCTCCTCCTCCTCCTCCTCCTCCTCCTCCTCCTCTTACTCCTCGTTCTCCTCGTCCTCGTCCTCCTCCTCCTCGCCATGGACGTCCTCCTCCTCGTCCTCCTCGTCCTCCTTGTTCTCCTCCTCCTCCTCGTCCTCCTTCTCATCCTCCCCTCCTCTCCTCCTCCGTCTCCGCCTCCTCTCCCTCCTCCTTCCTCCTCCTCCTCCTCCTCCTCCTCCTCCTCCTCCTCCTCCTCCTCCCTCCTCCTCCTCCTCCTCTCCCTCGTCATCCTCGTCCTCACCCTCCTCCTCCTCCTCCTCCTCCTCCTCCTCCTCCTCCTCCTCCTCCTCCTCCTCCTCATCATCATCATCATCATCATCATCATCATCATCATCATCATCCTCGTCCTCCTCCTCCTCCTCGTCCTCCTTGTTCTCCTCCTCCTGCTCCTCCTCATCCTGCTCCTCCTCATCCTGCTCCTCCTCATCCTTGTCCTCCTCTTGGACCTGCCTCTTCGGAGGCAGGCCACCGTCCTAGTCCTAGTCCTAGTCCTCCTCGTCCTCCTCGATTCCTTTTCTGATCAATAACTTATCCTTTTCGCGCCCCGAGGCCTGTCGGAGAGCGGGCAGGGCGTTTCGCTGGAGACTCCCTTTCCGTGTTTTGATCCTCACGCTTGAAAAATAGCAACAGTTCCACAGATGGAGGGCGGACCGCTTCCAAAATGTGGCTCTCGCCCTAGCGCCGCGCACATGATGGAACAAACTTCACGAGCTTCATGGATTGAGGCCGGCTCCCTTTCGAAATGTGCCTCTCGCCTCAGCGCCGCGCACAGTCGCTTCAAACAATTGCAAGAGCTTCGTGGATAGAGGGCGGCTCCTTTTCAAAATGTGGCTCTCGCCTTGGCGCCCGGCGCACTCGATTGAAACCATTGCAAGAGAGTCACGGATTCTTATAGTCAGCGTCCAAGAAAGTTTGTTTTGAAACGATTCAGGATGGTCAGGGAGCGATAGTTACGTCGATTCGGTGTTGAAGTCCCAGGAACTGGCACAATTCAGGATCGTCATGACGCAATAGTCAGGTTGATTTGTGGGCTTCGAGTCCTAAGAACAGTGTTTTGGAACGCTTCAGGATCTTCGAACGGTTGTCTCCTAACGGGGCCTCCCTCAGCGGATATGAATTATTGTAGGGGCCTATGTAAAGGAAGCTTAGAGGGAGGGTTTGTTCAAACATCGTTGATGAGTCTTGGGTGTGCGCTGGTCCTCATCCTCTTCCTCCTCCTCCTCCTCCTCCTCCCTTCTCTTCGTTCTCCTCCCTCCTCCCTCACTCCTCCCTCCTCCTCCCTCCACCTGGTCCCCCTCCTCTCCCTCATTCCTCCTCCTCCTCCCTCCCTCCTCTCTCCTCCTTCCCCCCCCTCTCTCAACCTGGTCCCCTTCATCCTTCTCCCGCCTCCCTCTTCCTCCTCCTCTTCCTCCTCCTCCCTCCTCCCAGAGTCTGCCCCTCAGACGTCCCGTCGAGACTTGCCGCTCAAAACTGCTTCAGACGTCCTGTCCAAAACTTGCCGCTACGCGACGGGGTCTCAGAACGGTAAGGCCTCGGGCTGCGCACAGGCAGCCCTCCCAGGTAGTCCGAGCTGCACTGAACAGGCCCTCCCCGAGCAGCCTGGGGCAATCTCAACACCCTGGCGCCCGCCGCGGCGGCAACCCTCAGGCGCTCCGCGCCCCGGGGCTATAGGGTGTTGAGACCGCCCCGACCTACTCGGGAGGCCTGCTCAGGCCAGCCGGGACTACCTGGGGGGACGGTCAGCGTGCAACCCGAAGCCTCACCGCCTCAGAAGTCCACCTCGTCCGCTCGAAGATGATGCCCCCTCGTGCCACCCCACTTCCCAGACCCCCGACGTCATGATTTTGTTCACAGCGTCGACACCCAGAAATCTCGATCCGTTCCCCTGGACCGATGTTTCGCCCTGAGTCGGCTTTGTTGGCGGTCCTGGGGCCCGAGAATGGTCACCAGAGGCCCGAAAACAGCGAGACACCTCCAATGGTGATTCTCATGCGGGGGGACAGCAAGCGACCACAACCACATCGAGGACTCGCCCTCGGGGATATCTTGCGCACGCCAGCAGTGGTCAGAACACCGAAACCAGCTAAATACTGGGCGTGGCCGATGTAGGCGTCCAGGACGCCCAAATCGACCACAAGCACAACCGAAGTGTTCATGTCGAGGTCGGTGGGTTCTCCCCCGAGGGGCCCTCGAGAAAAACCCATCAGTTCCCCAGAACCGGTTTATCGTCTTGAATCGTTGTTTGACGTTCTCAGGGCCCAGCGCGGGCCCCCGGAGGCCGAAAACAGCGAAAAGCCCCCTCCATCGTGAATTCTTCATGGCTCGAAGGGGTCTGGGTCTGGTCCTGGTCCTCGGCGGTGCCCAGAGCTCATGGCCCGAGGGGGTCCGGGCCTGCGCGCCGCCGAAGTGAGGGCCCCGTTCCCGCAGGAGCTCCCCCGCCCGCGCCCGCCCGCCCGCGCGAGAGCCAAAAGTGGCTGGCGCCGAGGGGGCGGAGGACTGCCGGGGCGCAGGGTGCCCGCGTCCCGCGTGCACAAGGCTGGCGGGGGGATGCCCAGACCCCCCTCGGGCAGTGAAAAACTCATGACGGATGGTTTTTGTTCGCTATCTTCGGCCTCCGGGGGCCCTTCCTGGGCCTCGGGAGCGTGAGAGAACGACTCAGGATGAAAAGCCGGCCCCGGGGAACGGGTCGAGTCGACGTATAGTGAACAGGTCATGGCGTCGGGGGTCTGGGCATGTCGACCCCTGCAGGCGGCCCGTGTCATAAGGATGCGCGGTATGGATGCAGGGGCCTCAAGGACGTCCCTCTCGACGCTTTTTTCGAGCGGGGCGCGGTCAGCCAGGGTGGCCAAGGATGGACCGAGGAGCCAAAGATGCAGGGGTACAGGGTGCCCTTGGGAAAGCTTGGGCTGGAGCGGGGAATCTGAGCAAGGATCAAGGATGGCGACGGGGGGAGAGGGGGAGGGGAGAAGGGACAAGGGAAGAGTAGGGTAGGGATAGAAGAGGGGGCGAGAGAAGGAATGAGACGCAGGATGAAGGTAAGGTTGACGTTGGGATGACGGTCAGTACCTCCTATCTGCACCACGTCGACGCTCCATCGTCAGCAACAGCAGGGAGTCTCTGAACACGACGCACGTATCAGCAACAATCGCGATTAGGCTGGGCTTTGTCTACGACCATCGCGATCAATGCAATCCCGCCCTGCAAGTTCAGGATTCATCACCTCCGCGTCTGGTACTGCGGCTGCTCCGGAAACGTATTTGCACATCTACTCCCAGGTGCTGGGGGAAACAGAGGGAGAGAAAGGCGGATGCAACGGAGCAGATGGACAACATGAGGAGGTGGGAGGAGGTGGGAGGAGGAGGGGGGAGGACAGAGAGGAGGATAGTTTGCCCTGCCCGAACCACCCCTGGGGTGGCTCCGAAAGTGGAGCTGACGGGCCCCACTTCCAGGCAGGCACAGGGCGTGGTGTCCTCGGAGCCCGTCCCAGCGCTCGCCTCACGGCGCTTCCAGGGGTGCCTCCCGCGCGCTTCCGGGGACCGCCCCCTCCGCCCGTGCAGCTGCTGCACAGCTCTGCACGTGCACCCCTGCTGCCGGAGCAGGAAGCGCTGCACACAGCCGGACACTTGCGTGGGCTTCCGGCGGCGGCCCCGCCTGGAACAGCAGCCGCCCCCCATCCGTGCATACACGTTGCGCGCCTGGTGCACATGTCGTGCAGTGACGTGCGTGCTCTGAGGGGGGAGTGGCCCCGCCCTGGGAGAGGAGCCGCCCTCCCTCCTCGCAGCCGCCGAAGACTTGCACGTGAAGCAAATTCGACTGCACGCAAGCGTGGCCCTGGGCAAGAGTGACCATCGGGTGCGTGGCTTTTTGGTGGCCGCGGGAAGACCAAACGCAAGCGCGCAAGACGCTACTACCGCATCGCGTTCGGCGATCGGGGGGCCGCATTGGGCCCGCACTTGAAGTCACTCTGGCGAAAGGTCACTCTTACGTGCAGTCGACAAATGCGTGCGGCTTTACGGCGATGGCCGCATTTTGAAGACCTGCCGCCCAACACCCGTGAGGCTGTTGGAAATTTGACGCTTCAGGGTCATAAGTGGGGCAGTCTCAGGAACACTCTGCGGTCCGCCCTGCCGACACGTCTCTGCTTCAGGAAGAGCGGTGGAGGAGGAGGAGGAGGAGGAGGAGGAGGAGGAGTGCCGTCTGGCGTCGCTCTCCTCCCCGCTCCTCCTCGCACTGCCCGCGCGGGCACAAGCCGCACGGCCCAACTCTAGGCAGGAAGTGCTGGGTGGACTCAATCATCGGCGCCACTGGGGAGCACTCGGCGCGGCCTCCGCAGCGACTGTCCAGATCTTGCGCGCCGACCAACGCGCTTAGGACCATGCTGTTTTCGGTGTTGGCAACATGAAGCTGGGCCCACTGACGGGGATATGAAGAAACCAACAGGTACCAATACCGCTACTTCCCGGACCTCTCCCGGGGCGCATTCTGACCAGAATTTCAAAGGGAATCTAGCGGTGGCGACGAGGGCCTCCCAAGAGGCCGGAAACAGGGAAAACGAGGAAAGGGTAGCGGTATGGGACCTTTTCCTCCTCTGAGCTTGAAGCTGGGCCCACCGACGGCGTTAAACAAGGCGACCCAAAGCCAGCAGCTCAGGACTCCTTCCCAGCTGGTGCTCACCCTTCCCGCCGCGCCGCGCGCGGTGCCCCCCCCCCCCCTCCTGGCTGGCTGCCGTCGGTCAGCTGGAGCGAGACGGTGCCGTCGGGATTGTGCACGAGCAGGAACCTCGGAGCCGTGGGGGAGAGCTCGGCAACAAATCCTGGGAGCCTGGAATGCCCTCTTACTTCCGTCTCTAGCGTCGATTCGCGTCTGGGAGTCGATGGGAAAGCGCCGATTTAGCGTCGGCCCGCGTCGATTTAGCGTCGATCAGCGTCGACTGGCGTCGATTAGCGCCGAGTCGCAAGAGCCGACATGATGGCATGGGAGGTCCTCATGACTTGCCACCGAAGGGGAGAGGGGGGGCTCCGTCTCATCCGCCACCTTCGCTCCGCTTCGGCTCGCCAGAGCAGGCCGCGCGCCACTGCTGCACGAGCCTGACCCAACACGCAGCCGAACATGTGATCTAAAAACTCAACTCATCACTCAAAAAATCTGGACCAGCTACCCAGAAGTTTCCTGGAACACACCTGGGCCAATTTCTGTTGGTAGCTCACCCTAGAGGGGGCGAGCGTTCACAAGAAACTGGGCCAGCTCGCCGGCGAACTTGTGGCAAAACGCTGGCCCAGCTTTTCGGGAGGAGGTTGCTTCAGCGGGCGTTTTCTTTTTTTTCTCCGGGCTTTGACCTTTGGCCGAAGGGTGGGGCAGCGGGGGGTCTGGGTCTGGGCCGGTGCTTAGGCGATCTGCTGCTCGCCAGTCGCGCATGCGGACCGGGGGGGAGGGGCCCTGACCAGTCGCCCAGAGCAGCCGCCACGAGCAGACAAGCTCTGGTCGACGGAGGGGGAGAGGGAGGGGGGAAGGGGCCGGGGCCCGCGCCGATCGACGAACCAATGATCAAAACGACGGCGGCGAATCAGATGCTCCACCGCATTCCACCGCACCAGGGAGCCTTGCACATTGCTCCGGAGAGTCCGAAATCTTAGGTCGGGCATGTCCCCCTACAGGCGGATTTTGGACGAGAAATAAAACATGTTCAAACAAATAGCCCCAACTGATCAAAAGTAGTAGAAGAATCGTCCCCAGACTAGTTGTTTACTATTTTTGAATCTTCCTCATTTAGAGGGACATGCCCGACTTAAGCCTAATCCAATGCTCCCGCGGCCGCTTCGCTCTCCGGGCGCCGTGACACCGCGAGGCGCTCTGCGCAGACCGGCCCTGCTTCTCGCGTCTCGTGGGCCAGCCCAGGGCTGGCTGGCCACGAGTTCCGCGCGGTCCCAGCCAGCAACGCCCCCCCTCCTCCCTCGCCCTGGCCTTAGCTCGGGCGTGTCCTCCTACAGGCGGATTTGAAAAAAACAACGTCCGAATACATTCCGAACAAATGCACCAAAATGGTAAAAAAAGAATCGTCCACAAACTATTTTCTAACGATGTTTGAATACTCCTCCTGTAGACGGACATGCCCGACATGACCCTGGGCTCGCCCCCTTGGGCATCCAGGGGGACCAGAGTCGACGGCCGCCGCGACGCCGCGAGGCGCTCTGCACGGATCGCCCATGCTTCTGGCGCCTCTTGGGTCGGCCCAGATACGGCCACAAGTTCCGTACGGTCCCAACCAGCACCCCTCCTCCTCCTCCTCCTCCTCTTCCTCCTCCTCCTCCTCCTCCTCCTCCTCCTCCTCGTACCCCTCGTCGTAGTCCTCCGCATCTTCTTCCAAGGCAGCGACGCCTGGAGTTCCAATACAGGGACGCAGCGTTTCCGGGGTACACACTTTCGGGCTTTCCGGGTTCAGCCCCTCGTTTCCCCGGTTGGCGCGGCTTCCATTTCCTGGGTTGGACGGAGTTTTCCTGGGTTGGGTTTTCTACCCCCAACCAGCACCCCCGCCCTCCCTCACCCCTTGCATGGGGCTCGCTTTCTTGGGCATCCCGAGAGACCAGAGTCAACGGCCTGCGAGCTGCTAGGCAGGCGGTGTCCTGCCCCACGGTGGCGACCAGGATGCCGAACCCTGCATACCGTGGGGCCCAGCTGGAAAACTGCCACTTGGCAGCTCTGCTTCGCTGCCTCCACCTTCCGCTCCACTCTCAGCCGTCTCCTCCTCCTTCGGCAGGGTTGCGCAGGAACAGGAACTTTGAAGTCCAGGGGGGTGCGGTGGAAGTGCGGCAGAAGGGGGAAATGCGATGCGAAGGGAGAAGGAGAGAGAGAGAGAGAGACAGAGGGTCCTCAGAGGTATTCCGATTATGAGGCGGGCACGCTGGTATACTCGCCGCAGGCAGCAGGAGAAGCGGGTCGCACGTTCAGGCAACAACATCCTGACGTAACTGAATGTACTGAAGTGTGCAAACGCAATGTTGCACCAGTCCAAGGACTGCAACCACATTCCGTCCGGCTCCAACCTCCCATGCCACAAAGCAGACGACGACGCCGGCGACGACCACGGCCAGGGCGGTGACGTCCACGACGACCAGAACGACGGCGGCCACAGCGACGGCGACGACGGCGGCCTCAGAAACGGCAGCCACAGCGACGGCGACCACGACGACGACGACCTCGACGACGACCTCGACGACGACGACGACGACGACGACGACGACGACGACGACGACGACGACGACGACGACCTCGACGACGACCTCGACAACGACGACGACGACGATCACGGCGGCCGCGCGGCGGCGGCGGCGGCCCGCCGGGGCGCGGGCCGCCCCCGCTCGGGCGGCCGGTGGCCCGCGTTCTGGGAGACGGTCAGGAACTTCTCCAGCACGCCCGAGCGCTTGGTGGTCTTTTCCGCCACGTAGCCGCCGCCGACTCGGAGGTCGAGGGAGGGAGGGAGGGGGAGGGAGAAGCAGGAGGAGGAGGAGGAGGAGGAGGAGGAGGAGGAGGAGGAGGAGGATGCCCCTGCACGCTCTCCTTTCGTTCCCTTAGACTCTGATGCCGGCGCCGTCACGAGACTGTCGGGGCACGATTCAGTGGGCAAGGCTCTCGGCGCTCCTCACCCGATGTAAAAGACTGAAAGTGGTACAGGGCAGGCCACGGGGAACCGAACAACTTGATGCGGGCGCGGCAGGGTGGCACATCCGTTCCTGTCTAACCTGCCTCGCCCGACCGAGACTACCGAGCGTGCGAAGATCATTCACGTACAACTCACATGATCCCCCCTGCACGCTCTCCGTTCGTTCCCTTAGACTCTGATGCCAGCGCCGTCACGTGACTGTCGCACACGATTCAGTGGGCAAGGCTCTCGGCGCTCCCCACCAGTACCCCCCATTTTAATGTGTTCTCCACGGAAAAGAACATGGAGCTCGTGGCAAAAGCTGGCGAATGGCAGCAACAGACTGCGGGGGCGGGTGGGGCACAACGCGGCCTGTGAGAAACACCTCCTTCAGGGCAGTTCTGGAATCCCCCATGTGCGATCTCAGCGCTATTGGGAGCAGGGCAGAGTCTTTCATCATCATTCCCGACTTCTCATAGCGCTGAACACTTTTGACTGACATCCGACGCTGGACTTCAAAAAGGTCTCGGTCTGTTTTGTAGAATCCCAAGAAGCACCAGCATGCCGAAGTTGATAAGGCATGATCTCCCGCGCCAGCAAAAGCCCTGCTTCCTTGATCTCCCTGCCCAAATCTGGATAAGTGAAGCGCCATGGCGGCTCATTTTTCTTCCCAACGGCCAGCACCTGGAAAACATCCTTCGTCCGTTCGAGACCGATGACATCCCAAGGAATCGTATCGTCCTGGGTGCCGGCTTTCGAGACCTGGTGGAGGTCTGATCGATGAGCCAGAATTCGCCTGGGAGAATCGACACGCATAGTGGGGGCCCACCAGCGAGCCTTCCGCGAGCTGCATCATGGACCCTGGCCTTAGATGGGCCCCGAAAGAACTGATCACCCAGATCCCCATGTCGAGGTGGCCGCCTCCCGTCCAGAGACTCGCCAAAGCCGAAACCGTAGGCCGCGTGAGTGGCTGACGGCCGCGGGGTGGGGCCAGCTTGGCCAATCCCCTGGCGGCCCGCCATGACCTCGGCAGAGAGAGGCCCCCCAGCTTGCCAAACCTCGGGAGGAACTGTCGCCGCGATCAGCTTCTGACCGAGCCCCGCGTCGTAGCCGAGCAGGCGCATGTGAGTCATGAGCGCGACTATGGCCAGATCGAAATCTTGCACCCGGTCTGCGTGGAGTCTCTGCTCTTCGACGTAGTCGACAAGCCCGCGACGCAGTCTGCGATGCTGAGTCCAAGTTCGCTCGCCGACCGAGCTTCTTTTTAAGACCGAAGCGTGCTGCATACCTGGCACCTCTGCCATCTTCGCAATGTGCTTCTTGCGCTTGAGAAAGCTGTCCTCGATCGGCGGGTGCCCGTCCAAGGTCGCGCCGCCCGAATCAACTCGCTCGGCATCCTGTTGGGCCCGTTCGAGTTGGGCTGGCAGAGACATGCGCGCGCGCCTTGCCTGGGCAATGGCAGTCCATCTCTTCTCCAGCGACAGAGGTTCCGTCCGACGAAGCAATGCTCGAGTCTCTCTCTCCTCGGCCTCCGTCGCTCTCCTCGATTTCCGCGCCAAGGACATCCCTCGCCCAAGTCAGTCAAGATTTGGAACGTGCAACTGCGTCATGTTTGGCCAAAGCGGCTGAGGAGTGCTCTCGCTCTAGTTGACGGATCTCAGGAGTGGCCTTAGACCCCCCCGTCGTAATTCTGAATGGCGGGAGGGTCCGCCGGCAACATTGAAGTCGCATGGAATCCAGCGGAAGCCCAGGCACATGTTTCTCGGGGGCGAGACGGCAGCCATTCGTCGGACCTGGACCAACAGCGGGAGAGCCCGAGCCCAGGACAGACCAAAACTGAGCGCAACGCCCGGGTTGTCTCCATGCACGAGAAATCGACGCCCAGATTCTCCGGGAGTAAAAACGAAGCTTCCGACTCCCAGGACTCCAGCACTGCCCCCCCCCCCTGGCGAACCGTCATCTCCCTGCTCCAGCGGCGGCAAAAAATCACCTTCAAGTCCTTCCCGACCAAGCCGGCAAACGGCGCCTCCGCGAAAGACGGGCCATGCCCCCAAAGCTCGGAACCCCATCCAAAGCGGGCGTCGGTGTAGCAAAGACAAGGGGTCAGCAGGGTGTAGACAGTGCGCGCCCTCGTGCCCACGCAGCATCACGTCGCAGCAAACGAGCTCTCTCCTGCATCCTGCCGCGCAGAGCTGTCCAATCAGACGACCTGCGCGCAGCGCGCGCTCGAGCTCCCGCGGGACAAGGATCATAAGCAACCACCTGATCCATCCAGCTGCGACTCCAGTCGGCGCGAATCAACGGCGTGAGCTGGAGGAATGTCAATGACTCTGTCCGTGCAGGTCCACGAGGGAGCCCGACAATGCCTATGCTGCCGAGCGAACTTGTAGACCGAGGCGAAGCAAGACAAGAGTGGCCGCTGTAGCGTAGACAAGTAAGCGCAATGGCCCACGAGCACATCAAGCCCCTTCCCAGAAACCTTGGGACACTCCAAGAAGGCCTCCAGACACAAACGAATTTTCCAACGACGCTTCCCCGACGGTCTGAAGCACCTCAAGACGCCGTTGAACTCGATGCCCAGGGCCTCCCTCACCTGCCCCGCCCCCTGAACCTCCTGCCACTTCATGTTTTTGGCATTCGGGATCTCGAGGATGTTATCTAGCAACTTCTGGGCCCGATCCCTGTCGGCCCCCAAGACCCCCGCGTTGTCCACGCATGCGTAGTAGATGGGCGCGCTGTGCTATCCTACGAAAAGCCCGCCCCCTCTGTCTTCGACCGAGGGCGCGTCCTCCATGCCAGCAGCCCCCCGATCCGAACGTGCATTGATACGCTGGTCCCTGAAAGCCGACCAAGAGAAGCCCGTGGGCAGCGCGGCCATCGAGGCCCACGCTATACTGTCAGCAGAAGCTTCCAGCCCCGAACGTTGGAACATCCTAGCGCCCGTGCCCGCGCAGGCGGAAGACAGAGATGCTCCCCTAACTCTTGGGCGTTCCCGATCCTGCGGAAGCAGTTGTCAACGTCGATCGAGGCCTCGAACAAGTCCACCCCCTCCCCCACCTCTCGGGGGTAGCGAGGGGGGTGCTCGGAGGGCCCCGGAAGAACTGATTGGCGCGACTGGCATCGACGATGAGGCGCTGTCTTCCGCCCTTTTCCCTCGCAGAGGAGGGCGTGACTAACTCTTGTGGGGGCGTGCTCCATCGCGTCAACCCGCGCGTCGGCAACATCTCCAGAAACCGCGCTACTCGCTTCCTTCACATCCCTCATCGTGCTCTCTCTGGGCCCCCCCATCAACTCCCTGCCCCCCTGAGAAACCAGATCCTGGTGCATATTCCCGTTCCAGACTCCTTCGGGCAGCGAGACAACGTGGCGATCGAACTCGACGACTGTGGGCGCAGCGTGGTCGTCGCCACGCTCTGGAGGAGCTCGCGAACGGCCCCCTCCTCGGTCACAAACGCGGGGACATGCGGCTGCTCAGCTACGCGGCCAGCAACAAAATCACGCACCTCGTCGACCGCGGCGGGATCAACGAAGGGGCTCTGCGCAGGATCATGCAACCAGTTAAGGCCCTTCTTGACCTCGCCAGCTTCTCGCAATCGATGACACCTGAGGCTGGCCCTCCGTCGACACCTCCTCGAGAGCCTCGAGAGAGCAGGAGAGAGGCCCCGGCAAAAAAGCGTGTGGAAAAAAAAGAGGCACAGGTCCAGAAATCCCGCGTGCCTCATCACCTGCCCCTTTTGCATCACTCTCGCCTATGTGCGTGCCCGCGCCGCTGCGACAGGCGCTGGTGCTATCCGCCGGACGAGGCAAGGGAAGCGACATCACTCGCCGTCCTCACCCATGTCCTTGTCCTTATCCTTGCCCTGCTGGCGGTTCAGGGTGACCTTGGCTTCCTCCTTCAGCGCCTTGGCCTTGCTCGTCTGCTTGTCGATCTCTGCCTCCTCCCTGACCTCCTTTGCCACGAAAGAGCGGAGGGAGGGAGCCACCATCTGATGGCGGCGATGATAGCCCGAGAAATTTTCCGCGATCTCATAGTTCGGACTCGTGGGGTTCTTCGCATGCGCCTCAAGGGTAGCCTGCCAGCGACGCCCCAAACGCTAGAACGCCGCCAGGGAGGCAACGTTAATCTGGTCGTACTGGATTCCGAGCTCGAAGACTTCCGCCATCACCCGCATCGCATGGATGGGCCTGTCATTATCACTCCAGCCCGCCGTCTGCAAATGCCTTTCCAGCCACAACGTGGGCACCATCGCGAGCTGCGCGAAGGAAGACATCAACCAAATAATGGTACGTGGTCCATGCAAGGCCAATCGGAGAAGCTATCTTCCACCAGCTCTTTGACTGACTCGACCCAGACGCGCCCCCTGTGGCCCTGCCCGTTGTACTTCACCGACAGCGTTCGCATGTCCTCCTCCGGCTTCTTCTCCCCCAAGTTGGCGTGCTCGCCGGGAACTGTAGGCCCTTTGAGAGCGCCTCTGAGAGCCGACAACCCCGTGGTAGCCTCTTCCTTGTCACGGGGCGTCGGCAGCCCACCTAGACCCAGTACAGCAGCGACTTGCGCTCCTCTGCGTAGACGTCGAATCTATCGCTGGAGATCTGCTCCAACGTCACCGAACTTGGCCAGGCCACGATTGCCGAGCCTCGTGGCGACAGCTGCCTCGGACACCTCAGCGCCCAAGCGGGCCACTTCTCGATCTCCGTCGAACGCGAGCTCCGAAACCACTCAAACCAGATCGACTCCAGCAGGCACCACAGCAGCGGCACATGCGGGCTGCGGGGCTCCACCTTCTGACTGAGAAGCGCCACCTCCCAGTGGAGCTCCCCGAAGTGGAACGCGCACACTGCGGACGACGAAGCCATCCCTATAGATCCTGGAACGGGCGATCTCGACCAAGCCCTCGTCGGCTATATAGTCCCTGGCCTCTTGTCGCAACTCCCTGAACCTCTCCGCTGACACTGTCTCTCGCTGAACTTATACAGCGGACGAGGAACAGCACGACCAACCGTACGTCCTCGCAGCAGAGCAAGCCTGACAGATCCCCGATCCCCTGTAGTATTATGCTCCTCGGCATACACATCGAAGTCGGGCGTATCATCCACCCACACTCGCTTGCCACTATCCGACCGCACCTCACGAAGCAGCAGACGCTCATGACCATGATCGCCACCCTCATACCACACCAAGGCGCAAGCCCCATGAATCTCTTCATACGCAGCCGCCATCACTTCTCAACTCGACCTCGGCCTTTAATCCCAGGATCTCCGACCCTCTTCGGACAACAACTGCGAGTAGCCACGACTCCGCACACAAAACCTGCGAAGGCTCGGCTGAGACCCACACGCCAGTACGAGATAGTGAGGAGGAGAAGGGGGAGGAAGTGCAATAGGCATGCGAACTATGACATGTAAACGCACAACAACTCGGAAGTCCGCGCGGATTCCTCGGATCGGCGCTTGGGTCCCCTGGCGGCGGCGCCTCAGGCGCCGCCCCTGGCGCGCTCCGCCCTTCTCAGAGCGTTCTGGAACGCTCCGAGAGCGTTCCGGAACGCTCTGGAACGGATGTATCCTCGTCATAGCCCCGCCTGAAACAGGCACCGAAACCCTCAGGTCCTGGCATTGCAACGCTTTCGCAACGTACGTTTGTCCAGGGTTTCGGGCCCTGGGACCCTCACAAATCGATGAGGCTTGAAACTTGGCGTAGGAAGATGGGATCTAAGGCGCTGGTCAAGATTTTTCTCGATGCTGTTATTCGCAGTGCTCCTGTGCTGGGTTCTCGCTTGGAATAGAGCACTGCGGTCGCACACCTTCTCTTTCACCTCCCCTGCTCCCCCTGCCCCCTTTTCCTGCCTCCTCCTGCGGTGCTCCCGCTGTCGCCACTCCCGTGGGCCTCCGGGGAGGCACGGCGGAGTCGGGGAGCAGACGGACCAGTTGAGACCTCTCCTGGCGGGCTGCGAAGTGTGCAACTGCCGCCATTTTCGAGGGTTCCTGGGAGGCATGGCGGAATCGGGGTGCCAACGGACCATCTGAGACCCTGCAGCTCCCTGGGTGACTGCGAACTGTGCAACTTGTGCTACTGTCACTGGCTCCTGTGAAGCACGGCGGAGTCGGGGTGCAAACGGACCATCTGAGACCTCGCAGCTCCCTGGGTGGCTGCAAACTGTGCAAACGTCGCCACTTCCGTGGGCTCTTGGGAGGCACGGCGGAGTAGGGGAGTCAACCAGGTGGCGTCCAAGGGGGGGGGGGAGGCGCAAATCATGGCCGGCGGTATGTGCACGGCCCAAGGGGGGGGGGGGGGGGGGGGGGGCAGGGACGTATTAAAATTAGGGGAGTCGCCATGAAATCTGGGGCGATATCATGGCCCCTGCCATGACATCCACCCCTCCCCCTAGTCATCACCCCCCTCGCTCGTGCCCGCCCCCGATTCTTCTTCTCGGTGAGCATCGGATGTCCGGGAAAAAGGTGCGGTGGCAGACCATGCGGTGCCCTCGAGATTCTCGGAGACCTCACCGCACGGCCCATCGCCGCGCGGATCATCCAGGACCCGGGGCCCCCGTCGCACGCTCGGGCTTCGCCACAGTCCACGCCCTCCGATCAGCAGGTGGCTGACTTCGTGCTCCTCTCGAGGGAAGGACTGCACCTCTGGGCGGCGCGACCAGGGGGGGGGACGTGAGAAAGGGCGGGCCTTCTCAGAAGGCTCGGAGGTGTCCGAGCAGTGTTCTAAGCCGTTCCCGAGGGCGCAGAAGACGTATCAGAGGGCGCGAGAGCTTCTGAGAAGTCCCGCGGCCTTCTGAGAAGGCCGTCTCCTTCTCACTTCCCCCCTCGCTCGCCGCCGAACCTTGAGAAAGACAAGTATCGTGTTGGGTGGAAAGGGCTGGGACGATACAAGGCGCGACCGTGAAATGAGCACATTCAATATATGCGATCTTACGGATGATCCGATCACTTCTCCCAGCCCAAATCCTACCCACCCGATGGTTGTCTGTCTGAAACCAGGCAAAAACAATACACGTTCGGAGCGTTCGGAGCTCTGCAAGATTATGCTCATGCAGCTGATTGCGCCCCTCGAGAAGATCACCGAATCGGCCACTTGCTGGGTGAGAGCCTGAGCATCGTTTAACCGACCCCTATTCGCATATGCATGGCACAGGCCCCAGTAGCAGAGTTACCCCCGTAGATGAGGATATAGGCCGTTTCCTTCCAGCTTCGAGGGATGAACCCCATCTGAAGGGATGAGATGGTGGGGGCCTGGATGGGGATGGGGATGGGGATAGTCGGTTGAACGATACTGCAATACGTCCTCAGATATATCGAGATTCGTTGACGGTATGGCGATTGGAAACACCTCTGTGCTTGGAGTGCTCCGTGTGGCGTTTGGTCACACCTCGGTGCTTCGAGTGCTCCGTGGCATTTTGGTAACGCTTCTGCACTTCGAGTGTTCTGTGTGGCGTCTGGTCACGCCAAACTTCCTGCCGAGGCGTCGACCTGAGCGCAGCAAGCAAGCAAAATGCTGAGCACGAAACGCACATGAGCACCTAGCCACTATCACGTGGTATCGCAGTACTTGCTGACTGCGACACGCCACGCCGTGGCCGAAGAAATGGTGTCCTGCCACAGCGCCGGAAGGGCCTCCATACCCCCAGCTGCTTCGCAGGCGTGCCTGTAAACTTCCCGGGACCACGTTGCTCGCGGGCGCCCTCTCTTTCTCTGGGTGGGAGGGGGGAGGAGGAGGGAGGAAAAGGGCTGGAGCACTGCGCAACGCACAGCGTCGTCACCTGGCTTTCTGGCGATGTGACCAAGAAAATGAAGCTGTCTACGGAGGAGCGCGTTGCTAAGAGGGCGGACGTTGGCCCGTTGAAGCACGATTTCGTTCGAGACTCTGCTGACGTATGAATGGGGAATGCGCAACAGCTTGCGCAAACATCGCGCTTGGAACGCGTCCAAACGGCGCATTTCCTGCTTATTAAGATACGAAGTGTGCAGGCAGTACAACAGCTTACTGAAAACGCAAGACTCAAAAATGTGAATCTTCTTCTGCCGCGTGAGAGTCGAATGGCTCCATACCCCAGCCAATTTGTCAAAGTCTGCACCTGCAGCTCCTAGGCGGCGTGACAACTCTGACCCTATCTTGCCGTCGTCGCTAATCAGACTACCTAAATAAACTATGCTTCCCTTCTGTGGGGTCGGGGTGCCGCCCGGCTTGAGAATGCATGCGTCGGTACCTACAGCCAAGGCTTCTAGCTTGCGCCAATTAAACTGTAAACCGTACTGTTGCCCCATATGTTGTACGGCATGCATGTGCGCCCCGGCTGATTCTCCGGAGGTGGCTAGCAAAAGTGCGTCGTCTGCGTAAACAAGTTCGTGCACATGCATGCTCTTATTCAGATAGGGGTCTGGCCCTCTTTTAGCATCGCGCAACAAGGTGGTCATCAATATTGCGAATAAGAACGGAGAGAGCGGACAACCCTGACTGATGCCGAACGCTTGCGGATGCTCTTCGGATGTTTTTCCGGCGTCACGGACAGAGAAAGTACGATCTGCATAGATGGCACGCACGACTTGTATGAAGTGGGTGGGAACGCCGAACCGCTCCAGTGAGAGGCATAACGACTCGGGCGAAACACTGTCAAATGCCTTCGCCCAGTCCAAAGCCAGCAAGACTAAGCGCCCGCTTTTTTCTGCCCACGTACGTTCAAGTAAACGACGAACGAGAAATATCGCGTCCGCTGTCCCGTGCTTGCTCTTGAAACCGAACTGGGTACTCCAGACTCTTTGTTCAGCACCGCCTGCTTTCAGACGGTTTGAAAGAATTGTAGCGAACATCTTATAAACAATTGAAATCAAGCTAATCGGCAGGTAGTTTTCGCAGTTTGCAACGTCGCCCTTTTTGAGGATAGCCGTGACCAGCGCCTTGTGCCAAGCGTCAGGAACCACGCGTTCTTCCCAGCACTTTCTGCACAAAGACACCGCCCACCTGCAGGCAGGGGTCCCTGGAGTGCAAATCGATTTCCAGAACTCGCCTGGAACTCCGTCAGCGCCGGCTGCCTTTCCCCTCTTCAGCTTGGCAGCCGCTGCCAACACCTCGCCTTCGGTGATGGGATCGCACGACACAGGTAAGGTGGGGCCCAAGCTGTCTGTGAATTCGGCGACTGTCGTCGGCCGGACAGCCCACTGAACCTGGGCGAGATATTGTGCCAGAGTGTCGGCGCGCTGGTCCGAGTCCACGAGTACTCCGCTCGAGTTTGCAAGCCGGCCTTGCTTCGAGGCGGCGCCTTTCCGAAGCTGCCGGATCGGCGCCCGCTCCCCTGCGGCGAGGCTGCTTTCCAACCATTGCGACCTATCTGATTTCACAGATGCCCGGACTTGCCTGGCGAGCTCGCATTCTTCCTCACGCGACCCCCTCTCGCGAGCGGCGTTGCGTTTCTCGATGAGCGCAAGAGTGCCCGACGAGATCCAAGGCCTCTTGGGCAGCAGCTTCGTGTCAGGAAGAACGCGGTCGGCGGCGAAGAGGAATGCTTGGGTCATCCGCTCATTCAAATGCTGGGCGGACTCGAAGACAGCATCGTCGTTGTCGGAGCCCATCTGCTCGCAAAAGGCTTCGGCAAATGAATTCGCAGCGCTCGGGTCCCGCAGAACAGAATGGCCCTTCCGCTTCTTGCCGGCCCTCGGCTCTGTCCGGGGGATGCCGATCAAGACACGGGCTTGCACAAGGAAGTGGTGCGACGCCAACGCTGCGGCGCGGTCGCTCCAGACTCGTTGCACCGAGCCTCTCCACTCCGAGCTGACGAGAACGAAATCAAGTTAGCCAAAATGTTGCTCTGTGGGGGGGTCCGCCGGAGATGAACCGATGTCATAGTAGGTGACCCGCCTCTCCGCCGGCTCGTCGAACAGCGTGTTTGCAACAGCGAGGCCCCGAGAAGTGCATGGCTCGACCAAGAAAGAACGATTTGAAGATGGGTTATGCTGCGCACGAGGGTTGCCGAATACGTGTGCGCCCAGAACTTCTTCCTCTCCTGGGCGCCGCACGTGAAGCCTCGCGTTGAAATCACCACGTGCAAAAACTGGCCCATGACAGGATAATGACCCAAGAAATGTGTTCAACTCTTGAAAGAATGTCTGCCTCTCCGATGGCGGCTTCCCGCTATGGGGGGCGTAAGCGCTGCACACAAGAATCTTGCCACCAACAACTCTCAACTTTAAAGAAGCCATTCTCGAAGATGCCTGCCGGAAGCCGACGACGCTTCGGCGCAATCTTGGTGATATCAGAAATCCCACGCCTGCCGTCTCGTTGACGTCGTCGGCGGACGCCCCCGAGAAGATCAACAGGAAGCCCTCCTCGGTGACCGTGTACTCCGACTTCGGCTTGTGTGTCTCCTGGAGACAAAGAAATTCTATCCCATCTGATTTCATATGCATCTGGAGCTCGACAAGTTTGGCCTCAGTGAAACCCTCCACGTTCCACGTCCCAAGCTGCAGACCGGCGCCGGCCACTGATAGCCGCCCTCCTCGGAAAAAATCTGCCTCGATGCTAGCGTTCACTTTCGCCCCGGGTGCGTCCGCAGTGCCGTCGCCAGCGGGCGGTGCGCCGGAGCTCATGCAGCGTTGAATCAAACGATGTGGGTTTATACATGCAATAGTGCCAACTGCGGGTGAAACTTTGGGTGAAACTGTGCTCATGTGCGGTGTCTCCTAATGGGGTGGCTTCCCCTTGGAGCCACCTTTCGCCTGCCCCTTCATGCCCGCCATCGCGCGGGAGACGATGTCCGTGCTCTTCTTGGCCAGGTCTTTGACCTTCGGATGCTCGTGGAGTGCAGCCCACGTGGCCCACTCCCCCTGCCACTCGTAGTGCACCTTGCCGGACAGGACGCTCGCCGTCAGCGCGTGCTCTCCGCCCACCGTGACTACGTATGGCGCCTCGTCTGTGACCGAGATCGTGTAGGGTACCGCCCAGTCCGTCTTCAGGAGGCGCTTGAGGCCAAAGCAGAAGCTTCGCGCTGCTCTCTCGGTGGCAGGGCGGTCCTGACTCGCCCAGATCTGTTTGTCTCCGCTCCTGAGCCCTGCTCCCCGGAGAAACTCCACCGCCTGATCTCGATCCGAGGGGGTGCCGAACTCCGCGAAGACGATGCCAGCATAGGCGCCCTTCCCATAAACCTTCAGGGGGGGAGAAGCCCCCAAAGAGACCAGCTTCTCTTCCAGCCACTTCGACGCCTGAGGGAGGTTCGGGATCCCATCCAAATTCCCAACCACCGCCGTGATCATGCGCTTGTCTGTGATTGTCTGCTGCTGCTGCGTGCCTGCATGCCCGACCCCCCGGGCGGGCTCCTGCTTCATGAAGTCCGAGATGCACTCCTTGATCATGGTCTCGATGTCTCCAGTCAAGGGGGGCGCATTCTTCGACAACTCCTCACACAAGTGCTCCAACTTGTCCACGCGGACCTCGGTGGTCATCATGCTCGCCTCGACGTCCGAAAGACGGCTCGAGAGTGTCTCGCCCATCGTGGTCACCTTGAGGTCCAACTTCTCGAAATCTTGCCGGAGACGCTCCACAATCGAGGTCATGGGAGCCAGCTGCTCTGCCAAATGCTCCTTCAGGAGGGCCGCGATTCCTATCATGGTCACTGGCTCGGCTCCTGACCCGGACGCGGCGGCAGCGTCAAAGTCAGGCTGCCGGAAGGGAGGGCCGCTCTCTTCGGTCGTCTCCTCCCCATCCGCCGGCATCTGCATGTAACCATATCCCTCCTCTCTCTCTCCTCTCCCTTCTCTCCCTCTTGCCCCAGCAGTGGTGCGAAGGGTGAATCTGGGCCATGACCGACACGCGCCTTTTTGTCCCCCCACTGCATCCTCTCCCACGGATTGCCCGTCAGCAGGTCGCGAACTGGAGTGCCGGCTCCCCGGGTGGTCTTTGGTCCCTGTGGAGGGGACTGGGACAGCACAGCCTCCAACTCCTTCTCGAAGTTCAGCGGAGAGCGGCTGCCGGACATTGCGGCGCGCTCGCGAAGGCAAGAACCGGAAACACCTCGGTTTACCCGCTTTCGCAAACACGAGATGCCGCGCGGCCCGACGGCAACGAAGGTAAAAAATCTTAGGGACAGGCCCTCAGAAACTGAGGGAATCCTTGAGGGGGAGACCTGAGCGCAATAGAACAAAAAACAACAGCAATGACAGAAACTGTTGGCGCTCCGCGCGAATTTCTGGGATCCGCGCTGGACCCCCCCCTCCCTGGCGCGCTCCGCGCGCCAGGGGCGGCGCCGGCGGCGCCGTCGGGGGGCCCAGCGCGGATCCAAGAAACCCGCGTGGAGCGCCACAAAAGTTTATGTTCTATGCCGTTTTTTCTCCCTCGGCGCAACGGTTCTGCCTGTCCGTCTGCCCGGCGCTCGCTCGGGGAGCGATGCGTCCCCCGGAGCAGCTCGCTCCCTCCGCCCCTCTCTCGGCCGCGCCCTCCCCCCGCTCCTCCTCTATGAAGGGGCCCTGTGACACACAAATGAATACACACAAGTAAAAGGAGTCCCCATATTTCCCCACATTCTCTTGGGGATCGACGATGAACTGTGTCTGTGTGTGTGTTTGTGTTCCCCTCCTGATTCTTGCGTGGTGGCACAGCTCGCTCCAACGGCACCCCCGCTGTGGGCAGCCCGTCGCCAGCGCAGACGTCCCCTGCCTGTATAGCCGCCGCCGCGCAACGTCGGCCTGCCTGGGCGGCCTTGCCCTCCGAGGACGGCCCGAGGCCCAAAGCCTGGCGCGCCCCCGGGAGGTCCACGGAGCCACCACGCGGCGTGGCCACCGCACCGCCTCCGGGGGCGGGAGGGCCAAGCGCCCTCCCCGTCCTCGCTGCCGCCCGCCCCCCCTGCTCGCCGTCGCTCGGCGGTCCCCTGTTCCCCGTGCCTTCTTCGACTTCGTCCGTGTCGCGACACGGACGAAAAAACGACATGTCGCTTTTTCGGGGGAAAAGCGACGTCGTTTTGTCGCGAGGTGGTCCAGGAGGCTCCTCGACGGTCCAGGCCGAGAAAACACGCACAGGTCCGAGCGATGCCAGTCCTGCGGCGGCGGCGCAGAGGCGAGAGCGGGGGGAACGCGAGGGTTTGTGGGTGGCGAGCACAAGGGGGGCAGGGGGAGGGGGGAAGGCTTCTCAGAAGGAGGCTGCTTCTCAGAAGGCGCCGGCCCTTCCACCTATAGAGGAGGCCCGCGCCTACGAAGAAGCAGGGGTGCTTCTAAGAAGCCTTCCCCTCTCCCCCTACCCCCCTTTGCGCATGGCCGAGTTTGGGGCCCCTCTCAGGGGAACAAGTTTAACGTCGCAGCGCGGCAGAGGCTGATTGTCCTCCCGGGGAGCAAACCTAGCAGCAAAACGTTAACATAACAACTCGGAGGTCTGCGCGGACTCCTCGGATCGGCACTGGACCGGGCTATACGCTGGAGGCGCCGCCAGCCGCCAGGGGGCTCCAGCGCAGATCCAAGGAATCCGCGCGGACCTCCGAGTTGTTGCGCTCCTGTCATTGTTCATTCCCCGACCTCTCTCCCGCGCCCCCTCCCCCCTCGCCCCCGCGCCCCTTCCCCTCCCTCCGCGGCCGCCCCTTCTCTCCCCCATCCCTTCCCTTTGTGCAATGCGGGCTCGTCCGCGACTCCGTGCCCCCGCGCTGCCCCTTGCGCGAGCGGGCTCTGCCTCTGCCGCGCCGCGGCGGAGAACATGCTTGTTTTTGTTGTTGGACCCCTGGGGCCACAGCTCTGGCCAACAGAAATCTGCGCGCGATCCCCCAAAACGCCGAGCACGGCATCCCAAGCTCAGCTCCTGCGGCCGGGATTCCGGCCGGCGCCCAAACGTCCAGGACCACGCCCTCAACGAAGATGCCTTCACGAGCGGCGACCGAACCGCGGGGCCGTGTCGTGCCGTCTTCGGCGTTGGCTTCTGACACCTCGGGAATCGTTCAACCTTGAACGATCGGCCGCTTCCGAATCCTCAGATCGATCAGCATCGACCGATTCTGGGTCGCTGGCGGCCTTCAACGTTGAACGCCAGCAGCGGGGTCGCCGCTGGTCGACACAACGCGGGTATACGGCTTCCACGGCGGGACCCCGCGCAGAGCTTCCTCCTTGCCAACGCCGACGCCATCGGTCAGGAAGTCCTCGCATGGTCGCGTCCGCTGGGCCGACAATCCTCTAAGCCCCCCGCCCTTGAGCGCAATCACCTCCTTGCCCCGGAGCTTGAACTGGTACTCCACGCTCTGGTTAGTATGTGTCACGACGAAGGGCAGTGGAGGAAGCCAGAGCGACCAGGCAGCATGGACAGGTGCCAAGGGCAAGCGTCGCCTGTTCCTTGAAATCTTCTCGATCCGCCTCAGGAAACAAGTGGTGAAGTGGCGGACACATCACATCTCTTCTGGCCCTCACTCGGTCCACAGCGCACGCCAATTGTACTCTTGTTCAAGGAAAGAAATCAGATTGTGACATTGCCCACTGTCGCTCCATGATCGCATCGAACCTACATACAAGCACGCATCTTGCAGCATCCGAACAGACGCACGACGGCTACGGGGACAGCCTGTGACAGGCTAGTTCGCACGCAGTTCCAAGTTCAGGAACAATGGCTCTCTATGACGACTACGGTGGCATCGCTGACGTTGTCCCAGGGCTCTGCATTCTGCATTGGTCTACCAGGGCGATCTCTCGCACAGCCCTGGCCTTGACTTGCATCCATCATCTTATAACAAGCGAGCTCCTAAGTAATCGGGAAACAATGCATACGCTTTCGCCTAAGTTGCGCCCAGACTGTTGGAGGCGCCCGAGGAAAAAACGGCCGAACCCCCAGATAAACGTCGAGCGCTGTGCCACATCAGAGTGGTCCGTACTCCTCGATGTAGCTGCAAGGGTTGCCTGGCTCGCATGATGTCGGCCTCTGGATTGGCGCTTGCGCTTGCCTGCCGCGCGGGCTGGGGGACCACGTGAGTATTCAAAAAGGCTTCCAAGGACTGGCCCAAATCCAGACATCCGACAAAGGAACAAAACCACGGACAAAGACAACGTGGGCCATGGATATCGTTTGACGCGTCAACCCATGGGACGGGTTTCTCGTCGCGATCACGTTAGACAGGCACAGGAGACACGATGGCCCCCCATTTGCCGATAAGGGTGTATGAAAGCTGCTGTACCTACTTGTCTTCGCGACGCTGACAGTCTGGAGTGGAGAAGTGCCGCGTTCCCATCCCTGTCAGCGAATGTCTATGGTCAGGAACTCTTGCACAGCGTGTCGCGGCGGCGGCCACGGCGACACGCTGCGCCTTGCAAGCGGGCAGCGTGTCACTCCGCGCCGCGGGGCGGAAGGACCGGACAGGCTCGGCACGCTGACGCGTGGGGGCCGGGGAGTTGAGAGCGTGTCGCGCCGCAGCATGGTGGACCCAGAGCCGGCGGCGCGGCACGCCGAGCCACAGCTCCCGACTCTGAGTCGCCTGACTTCGCACCTCGCGCCGCGCGGAGCGCGCTCTTCAGCTTGATCTGATACCGTGCCGCCCCCAGGAGCGCGCGCCCTCTGCAGAAGCGCCGCCATCCTCGCGCCCTGGCGTCATCCAAGGAGTCCGCGCCGAGTTCCGCGGGATCGCGCCCCGGGATCCCGATCGCGAGGGGGCAGATGCGGACACGTTCGCCGGCCGTGAGTAACCCCGAGGAGGCGAGGTCTGCGCGGAGCTCCGAAAGGTCATGCTGATGCTTTTGCCTCTAGAGGAGCAGCAGCAGCAGCAACAGCAGCAACAGCAAGAGGCGGCACCAGAGTGCAGGGCCTTGCACTTGAATTCGGCGGACGGCACGGGCCGCAGCTGTCGCGTTTGTTGCAGCAGCAGGCAGGCCTCACCCAGCACCAGGGCCATCCGTGGCACAGGGTGCGCACGGTCGCCGCTTTGCGAATGGCGGCAGCGGACTGCCGTCTCTGTGAGGCGAGCCACTGCGGTGCTCGTCTCCTCCGCTCCTGCACCTGAGGCCCAGTAGTGGCTCGCTTGTGCGCCTTCGCTTGGACAGGCGGTCGCGTCGAAGCTTACCCGCACAGATGAACCCAAAGCAACAGCAAGAGTGTGCTGCCAGAGCAACAGCAGCAGCAACAGCAGCAGCAACAGCAGCAGCGGCAGCAGCAGAAGCAACAGCACCAGCAGCACAGCACCGCAGCAACCGCGAGGATGCGAGGCCAAAGCCGCGGAGGGCGTGAGCGGGCAGCTCGAGCAGGGCGGGGGAGCCGGGAGCGCCTCCGAGACGGACCCCCCCCGCGACTCGAGCAGGCTCTCCGGCAGCTCCTGCGCTGCGCGCGTCTCCTCCTCCTCCTCCTCCTCCTCCTCCCCTCCTCCTCCTCCTCCTCCTCCTCCTCCTCCTCCTCCTCCTCCCCTCCTCCTCCTCCTCCTCCTCCTCCTCCTCCTCCTCCTCCTCCTCGTCCTCCTCGTCCTCCTCCTCCGCCTCCACTTTCTCAGTCGTCTTCTCCTCCTCCTCCTCCTCCTCGTCTCCTCTCCGCAGCAGGATACCTTTTTCCTCCTTCTTCTCCTCCTCCTCTTCCTCCTCCTCCTCCTCCTCTTCCTGGTGCGGGCTGGAGCAACAGGGGTCTTCCAGCCAGTTCTTTCTTCCTGCTTGCCTCACATAGTGCTGAGGCTTGCAGACTGGCGCTGAACCTTCACCCGATCCGATCCGATCTGATGCTCGATCCCACTCATCCTCACCATCCTCGAAAATGATGATAATAAGTCTTCGGGTTGTGCAGAGACTCCCCAAGTAGTCCCAGCTGACCTCACTCAACAGACTCCCCGAGTAGTCCTGGGCGGTCTCCATACCCTGGCGACGCCTCCAGCGGCACACTGGCTATTCGGGGGGCCTGATAAGGCCAGCCTGCGCTACTTCGGCGGGCTGTCCGTGCGCAACCCACCTCCTCTTCCAAAGGAGGAACGAGGATCTCGGCTTCGGGCGGAAGTTCGCTGGCAGCAATCAACGTGGGCTGCGTACTCGACCAGGTGCTCCTTGCTGCCGATCTGCCTCGGGCGGTCTTCAAAAGGCCTTCGGCGTCAAGTTGGGAACGGCTGTGATCGACAAGGGGTCCCTGGCAGGTGGTCGAGCACCCAACGTGCGGGGCGACATCAGTGCAGGAGGGTGGCCCCAAGGGGGGCCCGAAAGGCCCCTCTGCAGGCTGCCACCACAGCTCCAGCACAGCGATGGAAGGATGAGAACTGGCCCTTTCGGATCCTAGGCTGCTGCCCACGTGCTCTCCGCGAGTGCGCGGCGAGCCCCTCACGCATTTTCCGCGCGGTGGCCTGGCGGATTCTCGGCGGCAGCCCGCCGCCCTGTGCGGCCCGGCGCGGTACAGCCGCCCTCACGGAGGGGGATGCGCGCGGAGGAGAGACTGGGGGGGGGGGCGGGGAAGGGAGGAGGGAGCAGCGAGGATAGAAGAAACAGCTGTGTAAACAGAAATGGCCTAAGGTCCGCGCAAGCTTCTGTGCAACAGGTTTGGGGCACGTGTATTGCAAATGGATTGCGCCAGACGTGTGTGTGTGTGTGTGTGTGTGTGTGTGTGTGTTGCATTGGCTTGACCTAGAGTATTGCCCGCGAACGCCCAGCAACACATTTGCGAGCGGGAATGTATTGCACGCCCCGAACCTGCTGTTGCAGCCCCACAAATGTAGTACACCAGCTCTATTGCACGACCCTCTTTTCGCTGGACCCCCATTTGGGCCAACCAGAGCAATGTGTGCTGGACCTGCGCTGGGCCCCCCTCCCGGCGCGCGGAGCGAGCCGGGGGCGGCGCTGGAGGCGCCGCAGGACGGGCCCGGCGCCGACCCAAGAAGTCCGCGCGAACATACGAAAGTTTATGCTCACGCGGGGATCAGCGAGGGGGGCGGGGGCGGGGGCGGAGGCGGCAGGAACAGGAAGAGCTGGGAGGATGGGGGCAGGGCGCCCCTGGGCGTTCCTGCAGGAGGTCCCCATCAAGACGCCTCCAGGCGCCTGCCCGGAGAACTCTATGGAAGCCCCCCCGTGGGACGCCTGATGAGGAGCGGCGGGGAGGAGGGGAGGAGAGAGGAGGCAGTGGGGAGGAGGGAAGGGGGAGGCGGCGGAGGAGGAAGGAGCGAGGAGGACGAGGAGAGAGATGAGAGGCGAGGGGGAGAGAGGATGGGGAGGGGAGATGTGAATCGGAGAGAAACGCGTCAATCGCGGCGGCAGCACGACGCCGGCGTCTGACGACGGGGGGGGGCGTCCTCGCTCTCCACGATGAGGGACCCCCGCTCCCTGTCGTACGCGGGCACCAGGACGAATCGGTCCCCCGCCTCGGGGGCTCGGGCAGGCCGAGTGGGGACCCCAGCAGGTGGAGGTCGGCTGCAGTCAGCACGCTAGCAGAAGGAGCACCACTCGGAACGAAAAGGCGCTGCCCTGGACACGACCAGCGTCGGCCACGGAGCGGCCTCCCCAGCCAACATCTGAGGATCGGCCCCGAAACCAAGAGCCCCTCCTGAGCCCGAAATCGTCCTTGTTCTGGCGCCTCGGCCGCACCATGCCATCCTAAGAAGTGCTGGCCTCCAAGCTGGTGGGATGGGTACTCTACGATGCAGCAGCTGACTAGGGAGGGAGAGGAGCCTCTGAGGAGGAGGAGAAGGAGAAGGACGAATCCTAAGAGCATGCGGACGGGAGGCGCATCCCACGGAGAGACCAGCCGCCTCGGCCTGCCGGTGGGCGAGAATTCTGCAAATGGGCCTCCAGGAAGTGGATGAGCCTCCGATAGGCAGGGCATCTCGAGAATCCACCACCGCGCTTGCAGCGGTTGGAGTGCGGCCTCGCGCTCCTCTTCGTCGCAGCTCATCGCGAGGAGTAGCATGTATGCTTCTCGAGATCTTGGGCGGAGCATGCGCTCACTTTTGGACAAGTCCCCGGTCCATTTGGCATTCCGCACCAGACTATGTCAAAGTCACACACGTGGGTACCGCCTTCCGTGGCACCCCACCCCAGCCTCCCCGACGCCCCCGCCTCTCCATCCCCGTGCGCCCCCTCCAAAGCGCAGTGGCGGGTTCGAACGGAAGCGCAGCTGGATTCGATTAGATCTGACCTGCATGCGTGTCAGGACGGGCGTGGCTCGCAGCAGAAGCAAGAGGAGCACGGGGGCGACGAGACGAGCGAGATGCAATCGGGGAGGCGGTCGCAACACTCTCTCTAGAGCCGACAGCAAAAAGTTCAACGACTTGGCAGGGTCGGGGTTTCATCAACGTCCGAATTAAATTCGACTCGCGAAACAAGTGTGATGAAGATGAGGACCTTCAAAGTCTGCTTCACGAGAAACTTGAAGGACGAATCGCCCTTCTCCGTCATGCGGCCCGTCAGCCTCTCGAACGCCTCGGCCTCCTCCTGCGATACGACCCAGACGGGCTCGTTGAAGCGGGGCTCCTGACTCACGCGGCACTTTTTAACTGTTCGACCAAGAGCGTGGCTCGCACCAGACGCGTCTGTACCGAGTTTTTGAATCTGCGCGTGTCGGCGCTAGCAGCGGAGAGGGGGACGGCGAATGACTCTTCGAGTAGGCCTCCGCCACCTCATCCTCATCCTCCTCTTCATCCTCCTCATTATCCTCCTTCTCCGTCTCCCTCAACCCGAGGAGGAGGATGAACAGCGGGCTCTGGCCTGTCTCAAAGGCCGCCCCGTCGTGTGGCGAACAATCGCAGTCTGGGACGCAACGCGCTCAGGGCTCCAATCCTCGTTCTCCTCCTCCTCGTCCTCCTTGTCCTTCTCGCCCCTTGGGGACGCCGAAATGTCCGGCGCGCCGGGGCCAACTGTTGCTGAGACGGTCCGGGGCGGCGATCCACCGCTCAGATGAGTAAAAACACACACAAATGTTGAATAAGGTGCAAATTGAGCAGCTACTGACAGATAGACGATGTGACCTCGTGTTCACATAGCGGGTTAGCCAATGGAGAATACTGTGGCGAGCGTCTGGTGCTCGCGAGCCTGAAAGCGATATGGCGGCAAGTGCAAACCTACCCTGCTATCCTACTGTGTCTCCAGTCAGGTCCCCGTGGACATTCGGGGAGCATGAGACATAGATAGCTCGCACCACGCCCGCTGACAGGCAGGCGCCACTTTGCAACATGCTCTTCTGGAACTCTGACATTCAACTCGCCAATGGCGACGACAGGCAGGCAAACGCCACTTTACAACATGCAACCTGCCCAACTACGCAGCTCGACTGCACGCCGCGCGCAGGTGCAGTTCGACTGCACGCCGCGCGTAAGGATCACTCAACTGCGCATATACAACGCCTCGTGTGTGAATGTGCCACGTGCAACTTAAAGGTCTCTTACCCAATTGACCCGTTCACTTCGCACGGCCCTAGTCAAATATGACTGCGTGTGGCATGGACATACGTTTGAAATATCACTGCCAATTTCGCGTGAGCACACCCACTGAGTGAAGAACCGGCTTCTATGATCCTCATACTTGTATGCTCGACTCTGGTACTGTCCGCAGGCACCTCTTGAGGCCACTCACTAAGAACTTGGTGGGTGCATTTTTGCGCGCACATTCATGGGATACAACAATGTTAGAATTGCCTCGGGACAACCAACACGATGAGGCGGAATGCTTGAATCGCTGTTTGCCCATCATTACTTACAGACGCGGTTTATGACAGTATATGCTCCCGAGTTGTGCATGCGCCCATTCGTCTGGACATGATTCACCACGCCGACTTCCAGCTAGAGAGCTTGTTGAGAAGGTGGGCTTAAATTCATACTATGCAACCGCTCGTACACTGACTCAACATATGCCGCGGTCACTCGTCCCTTCTACCGAGTGTCGAGGGGGTCCATGGCACGTGACGTGGTTCCCAGTATCGAGGACGTTTCAGAGCAGCTGTAACCGCTTGAACTTTCACCAGACAAGACGGAATCTATGACAAAACACACAACCTTGTCCTGTCACTGACAAGATGCCCCCCCCCCCCGAAGGAAAGACAGCGACCGACTTGGCAATTCTGGCAACTCCACAGACAGGGGATCTCTCCAAATATGAACGCTGAAGGTGTGACATCTGATACTCGCCCACCCATAGATTCAAGTCGTACACCCTGAAATCATACCATCGCCCACGCTCCCTCCAATGGAAAACAAAGCACATCCTCCTTCGAAAAGGGGTGCCTCCCTACGGCGGTATGCAAGCTCCTTGTTCCTGAAATAGACTGTCTCGCCAGGGAGGAAGCAGTGGTCCATGCCGACCTCGTCAATACAGCAGGAGCGAAGATACTGCACGGATGATGAGGGGAACAGGGGCGACGGATGAGGAAGACGAGGCATGCGCAGGAACAGGTGCAGGAGGGAGCGGGTGGAGGGATGGGGGGACCGAGAGACGAGGCATGACAAGGGAAGAGGAGGATGGAGGGAGGGGGGGAGGGAGGGAGGGTGGGATGAGGAAGCATGGCGGAAGGACACGGAGGAGGGGCGCAGCTCCCCCCCTCCGACCAACTCCTCAGCCCTCTTGCTCAATACCATCCGCCTCCTCCCCTCTTCTGGTCATCCTGCACCCGAACCCCTCCCCATCCTGCTCCTCCTCAATCCTTAACCTCCTCCTCCTCCTCCTCCTCCTCCTGCTCCTCGTCCTCCTCGTACTTCTCCTTGTCGTCATAACAGCCTCCTCCTCCAGAAGCTGGGGACTGGGGTGTACAAGGATGAGGGAGAAGGACGAGGAGGAGCAGGTAGGCGGACGCTGACTTGGGCGATGTGCAGGAGAAGCCAGAGGGAGGAGGGGGGAACGGGAGGGAGATGACGAGAAACGAGAATACGGATGGGGCTTCGCGGGAGGTGAGCGTAGGGACGGCACCGAAAGTGGGGTAGCGGGAAGACTTCGAGGTCCTCCCCGGGCTGATAGAGAAAAAAACGCATGATAAGGGAGGGATGAGGAGGGACGGAGGGACGAGGAATAGGGAGAACGAGGGGAGGAGGAAGGATGATCAGGATAAGGAGGGGAGGACGAGGATGAACTGGAGGGGGGGAATGCGCGAACGAAGAATGATGGTGTAGGAAGGGGGAAGCATGCGGGATGGGTGGCTCCTGCCTCCTCTCCCTTCTCCTGCTCGTTTCCCTCCTCCCCCAATCATTTTCCCCCTCATGGTCAGCCCCGGTGTTTCTGATGCTGCACCTCCCTCCTGGACCATCACCCCTCCTCCTCCTCCACCTCCTCCTCCTCCTCCTCCTATTTCTCCTCCTCCTCCTCCTCCTCCTTCTCCTCCTCCTCCTCCGCCCTCATCGCTATCCGAGCCTCCTCCTCCTCCTCAGCTCTGCTCATCTCTCCTCCTCCTCCTCCTCCTCCTCCTCCTCCTCCTCCTCATTCCTCATCCTTCTCCTCCACTTCAGCTCCGTGCTTCCCTCCTCCTCCACCTTCGTCCTCCTCTTTCTCCACTCCTCCACCTCTTTCTCCACATCCTACACCTCCACCAACTCCTCCACCTCCTCCTCCACTCCTCCACATCCTCCTTCATCCCTCTCCCTCCTCCTCCACCTTCCTCCTCCTCCACCTTCCTCCTCCTCCTCCTCCTCCACCTTCCTTCTCCTCCTCTTCCTCCTACTCCCAGGCGGGGCGGGCGGAGGGGAGGACGCAGGTGGAGGGGGGCGAGGACCAGTGAAACCCAGAGTGCATCACCGATGCTGCAGCACGTCCTCCAGTTCCAAGTCTCTCCCCCAGAAGTACCCCCCCGAAGCAAATCCCTACATGCATTCCTTTTCGCTGCTGGCCGTGCCCCAATTGAACGACAAACGCCCGATGGGCCTGTCACTCAGGTGAGGGCCCCATTCAAGAGAACATCTCCTGAATTGCCCTGCGCCGTTGTAGCCATATGCAGTGCGAAAGCTTCGGCCACACCTTTCGAGAAAGTGCCCAGCGAGAGCCACGATTTGAGAATGAGGCACCTCGCAGCGGTGAAGCCGTCGCACCAGTTTACAAGTATGATCATGTTTTTCGAGTTTGGCCATGGATCATCCTGCTGCAACTTGGACTGGCATATTCTTTCGGTTGCAAATTGTTCTACACGTTTTAGGCGGTACAGGGATATACACACGTGACGCACCACCTGCTCTTCATCCGAGTGTGCGCGGCGCCAAGGCGACATCCGCATTTCAAAAAGCAAGCGCGCGCCATCCATGTGACTGTTGGAAATTCGGCAACCGCTGAAACAGTGTGCGCATAGCCCATGCGAAACCAAAACTCTGAAAACTGCCCACCTCCCACAGTCAAGACAAGAGTGCGCGGCGCTCGAGCGCGAGCAACGTTTTGGAGAATGGATCGTCCCCTATCCTCACAGCTGCTTGGGACGTCGAACGGTCAAGAAGTCTCGAGCGGGACATCCGGCCGGCCTTACCGGGATGTCTGGTCGGAGGAGGACGAGGAGGAGGAGGAGGAGGAGGAGGATCTTCGCTGATTTCCGCAAGTCGCACTAAGTCAATTAGCGGGCGGGGCACCCAGCGGGGCCGCGGGTAACTGCCAGCAGGGGGCGGAATCGTGCATCATTGTGCGGCCGACGTCCAGCGTGGACGCGAATTCGTCGTGCCGGCCATCGTCACGTGAGCGACGAAAAGACACGGGTCTTACGCAAAAAAATTGTGCGAACTTCCGCGAAGGATTACGTGGGCTGCCGGAGTGCCATGAATGCACATCGCGTGGAGAGGCGGACGCTTACGCGCGGTCCTACGCAGGAAACTTACGCGCAAATGTCGGAGCAGTCGACTCCGTTAGCTTCCGCTGCTCACGCGCAGCTCGAGGAGGGGGAAGAGGAGGAGGAGGAGGAGGCGGAGGAGGGGGAGGTAGGAGGGAGAGGAAGGAGGGGGAGGGAGGAGGGAGGGAGGGAGGAGGAGGGAGGAAGGAGGAGGAGGAGGAGAGGAGAGGAGCTGGGAGGATGGAGGAGCAGGGGGAAGGGGGTAGCAGGGACGGCCGCAGCGGCCAGTGCCGACCTCGTGCTCGGTGGTCTGGACGCCACCGCGCTGCTGGCGCATCGTCGTCTAGGGGGGGGGGTGAAGGCACGCGGGAGAGGCAGCGCCGGCCAAATGGGGTGGGAGCGCAGCAGGTGTGTGGGGGGGGGGGGGGGGGGGGGGGGCGGGCGGCGGGAGGAAGGGAGGGAGGAGGTTGGAGCGACCCTAGCCCCTGGGACGGATGTCGATCAGCTCGTCCTGGACAGAACCAACGCTCCAATCGACTGCCAAATTGTTTTGACCAAAGATCTGGCACACCTGAACTTGTTGAGTAAGAAACGACCCGCCTTCCTGTACTGGGATCTCCCGCGGCCTTCCTTGCAGAAATGGGAAATTGAATCCCACGTGATCCAGCACGTCCCGACTGCAGAAGGATGAACAGGATGAGGACTAGGTATGAGAGGGGAGAACGGATGAAGGGGAAGATTTGACTAATGAAGCGGAGAAGGAGGGTAGAGAAAAGAGAATGAGGAGAAGGAAGTGGATGGGGAGTGGATTAAGGATACAGGAGGAGGAGGAGGCGAAGGGCAGAACGATGGGGAGGTCGGATAATAATGGGGGAGGGAATCAGGGAAGGAGGAGGGACGGATTTTGAGGGCGCAGGGGTCGGAGTACGATCATGATACGCAAGGAAAGATAGGGAACGAGAACTTAGAATGTAGAACCACGGAAGCGGAGGAGGAGGAGGAGGAGGAGGAGGAGGAGGAGGAGGAGGAGCAGGAAAGCAGGGGAGAGAAAGGGATGGAAAATCAGAGACGAAAGACAAATGAAAGGAGAAGTCGGATGAATACGAGAGGGACATTGGGAAGCAGAAGTAGGAAACAAGACGATGAAACAAAAACGACATGAGGACGAGCTGGAGAGGGAGGAGCGAGGGAGGGAGGGATGCAGGGAGGGAGGGAGGTAGGGGGAGGAATTCGAGAAGGGAAATTGAAGGAAGAGGGGGGAGGCGAGAGGACCGCGGAAGGGAAAAGGAATAGTTGGATGATGAGGAGCAGAGAATGAGGAGGGATCGGAAGGATCCCGAGGAGGGAAGACAAGCAGGTGGTGGAGGAGGTTGCATGGGGCAATGAGGGAGGGAGAAGGGCGGGAGTTTCTAGCAACTCCGAGCGTGCTCAGGGAGCTCTGCGGGGTACCCTCCTCCTCCTTCTCCTCCTCCTCCGTCTCATCATTCGCAGCGTCGCTTCCCCTCCTCCTCCTCCTCCTCCTCCTCCTGCTCCTCCTCCTCCTCGTCCTCCTCCCCCCCCTCCTCCTCCATCACCCTCTCACTCCAACTGCACATCCACCCTCCTTCTCCATGAACGTCCTTCTCCTCCTCCTTTGTCTCATCCTCCTCCTCCTTCCAATTCTGCCCCCCTGGGTCGAACGACAGCCCAGCGCAGTGCGGCAACTTTATGGGCATCCTGGCAGCCAGTCTTCTGGTGTACTGCGGGCTCCAAATGAGATCTTGATTGATGAGAAGTCTTCTACAGAGGACAGAAACTCAATCCCCATAAAAATTGCTCCGACAAGCGAAGCCGTTTAATAAACGCACGCAAACAAGAATCGAACAGGGCAGGGCTGTTTAGTAAAGGCCTAAGGCCGTTCAGTAAACGTCAATTGTCGGGTCCGGGCGTTTTATCCTTACTTGATTCTGGCGCACTGAACACGAATAATAAGACTTTATCAGGAGTATTGCTTGACCAGAACGCTGGCGACTCGTCTGCTGGTGTACATCGTGAGCCTGTGCCTCCTGACCGTCCGAGCCCTGCTGGAGGCCAAGCCCCGCCGACGGCGTCCGCAGCAGCGGTAACTAGATCTGAGGCCGAGCATCAGTCAAGTCTGAACGGGAATGGGGGGGGTCCTTATTCCATCCGCAGGCTCTTGCCGAGAGTCTGGGTCCTCCCTCCGAACCTCGCTCGAAGTCAGCGCTTGGCCGAGCTAGTCGCTCGGGGAGTTTTTGCCCCGAGCCCTTCCCATCGTCCTGAGCCTCCCTCTCCCCATCCAGGGTCGCGACCGACTCGGAGAACCTCTCGGATTCATGTCTGCCGATGCCTCGACGCTCCCGTCGTGCGAGGCCTCCTCGGCCGCCGCAGGTAATCCGGGCAGCCCTGGAGGAGTGCCCGTCACCCCCCAAACTGACACTCTCCAGACAACGGGCGGGCCGAGGGCCGCAGGCGGTGTCCTCACCAGCAGCGCTCCCTGGCGAGGGAAATTGCGGCTTGCTGCCGCCACTCCGAGAGTTCTTGCTTGCGTGCTTGCATGCTTCTGCCCCCCTCCTCCTCCTCCTCCTCCTCCTCCTCCTCCTCCTCCTCCTCCTCCTCCTCCTCCTCCTCCTCCTCCCTCCCTCCTCCTCCTCCCTCCTCCTCCTCCTCCTCCTCCTCCTCCTCCTCCTCCCTCCTCCTCCTCCTCCTCCCTCATCCCTTTCCCTCCTCCTCCCTCCTCCTCCTCCTCCTCCTCCTCCTCCTCCTCCTCCTCCTCATTCTCCTCCTCCCTTACACCTCCCTCACTCCAGGGGAGGAGAGTGCGAGATGGGGGATGGGGTTCGTGCAAAGCGGATGCTGGCGAACGCACGAGACGGGGGGCGAGGGGGGGGGGGGGCGATGGAGGAGGGGGGACAAGTTTGGGACAGGGAAAGCAAGGACGGTGCAGGAGGCTGAAGGGATGGGACAAGGAAGGGGGAAGAGATGGGGCAAACAGGGGAGGAATGGAAGGTCGGGGTGGACGGAAGGGGGAGATGGCAACTATAGAGGGGTCGGGGGGCGGATCCGCATGCAGCAGGTTTCCCCGGCTCCTCTGCCCATCACGCCCTTCCCCGCCCTGCCGTTCTCATCTGAACTCCTTTCCCGCCATGGCGCCCCTCTGCCCTCCCCTGCACCAGGCACCGCGATCGGAATGGCGCCTTGGCCACCCAGCACTTCATGGTGCGGTTCAGGTCCAAGAACTTCTGGCCATGGGCGCTCCCCGCTCTTATCCGGTCTGTCTGTGTCCCCCACCATCCTCGTTCTCCCCTGCTTCGTTCTCCTCGTTATCATCCTCCTACTCCTCGCCACTCTCCTCGTTCTCGTCAGAGCGCCCGGCTCGAGACCACTCGTGCCAATGTTGTCCCCTGCTCCCCTCCCTGCTCACGGACAAGAACAAGCAGCAGCAACCCGCTTGAACCCAACACGGCCGCCGCCAGCCGGCCACCAGAGTGCTGCGTGACATTGTCGCCAGAGGTGGCATCGTGCACCTTTTCGCTGGGGGGTGGACCTGCTAGTCTCGTGTTTTTCTCGGACCTGAGAGGATGAATGGGGGATGTAACTGGCAGGCTGTCGTCAATGCCCAAGCCGTATGCGCCCGTCTCCTTGCAGCACGCTCGTCGAAGTGGCTATAGTTCCTAGAAGCTCCGCCTGAAGGATTCTACTCTGTGCTGACAGCCAATGGCAACGTGCAACGTGTTCCTATCCTAACGGGCTCCTCAAACTCAGCCCGATTCCCGCAGGACCCCCGAAACAACTTTTCCCAAGAAGCACTGCCGCGTGGATTGAATACGTACACGCCCTTGGCTTGTGGCTGGCCTGCATCTCGATTGCCTTTCTCGATTGCCTTCCGACCGCATCTACCGTGCCTTGAGGTGACCTTCGCGCGTCTTGAACGCGCGGTCAGTTTGCCCTCAGCTTGCTTGTACACTGGGCGTAACGTTACTGTTGGGTTGCTCTGATCTCTCGTTCAGCTCGCCTTCAGCTGGCCGAAATCCACATGCCACGTTTACAACGTCTAAAGTCTGTCGATCGATTGCGTTCAACTCGTCCGCCTTTCGTTTCGCTTGCAGCGTGCCCTTGACCTGCATTCGGCTTGCAGCCAGCTGGCCCGTTGCTTGTTTTCAGCATCAGTTTGGTGTAGGGATCATTGCTTTCAGCTTGCTTTCAACGATTGGTGCCTGGCTTGCCGTGCAACTAAGTGTCGCATTCCACGTGGAATTCCCTTAGCGTGGGTCGTTGTTGTTTGCGTACTGGTGACTACCCGTTTACTCGTCTTCACCTGTCGCATCGCATCCCGCCTCACCTGTCGCCCAGCCTCAACTCGCATCCAGCTTGCTGATGTGTGTCGCTTGTAGGTGGACGTATATACACACCTATGTTGGTTCGTGAGGGTTGGACGGCACGGCGTGAATGCAGAGGCATTACACCTTGGCGCCTACCCTCAGAGAGAAGTTCCCCAGGCGGGGTGGCGCAATGAATGTATAGCAACACTTACAGACATATAAAGCAGCAGGCATCTGACGCTTGCCAGCCCAAAAGGTGTCTAAAAAGTATGATCACATCGATCACGGCTGTGATAGAGACCACATGTAGTACTAGCACCTGCTCATATCCTAAGCGACCACGCGCCTCCCTTCCCCAATTCCCGCCTTTCCCCAATCTCGACCCTGAACGTCTCTGGAGGTTCCCAGAGGCCTTCGGAGGCCGCTGGATGCAAATGGCGCCCCCCACCACGGGAACGAAAAGAACGAGCACTAACCCCAACATCTTTATATACATAAATATAAGACCTCGAAACCCGATCCTCGACGACGACGACGACGACAACGACGGCCGCTAGAGGCTCCACTGGCGATCCCGCCACGAGGGGTGTGGCCGCCTCCTCGGGAACGTACTCGGGGATGTACTCGAACGTCTTCCGGCCTCGGCGCCGGCCCCGTGGCCGCTCGCCGAGGGAGGGAGGGAGGGAGGGAAGGCGAGGGAGGGAGGGGGGAGGGGGGAGGAAGTCTGCCAGGGAGGGGAAGGGGGGAGGGGGAGGGGGAGGGGGGATGGGGGAGGGGGGAGGGAGGGAGGGAGGGAGTGAGGGGGGAAGGGCAAGTTAGGTGCGCTCGCGTCAACATCTGACATCCTACCCCTCCCTCCCATCCCTTACCATGGCGCTGATTTTCTCTATCCGCGGACGCGTGTCGTAGCGGACCTGTGGCTCCGCGCGCGTGTGCGTAGTGGGTGGTGGTGCGCGTGCGTGCGTGCGTGTGTGTGTGGTTGTGGTTGTTGTGGTGGTGGTGTATGTGTGTGTGTGTGTGCGTGTGTGCGCGTGCCGTGGTGTGACGTGGTGTGGCGTCTTGGTGGTTTGGTGGTGGGCCAGGTGCGTACGTGCGTGATGGCGGTGGTGGTGGTGGCGGTGGTGGTGTGTGTGTACGTGTGTGTCTGTGTGTGCGTGTGTGTGTGTGTGTTTGCGTGTGTATGTGTGTGTGTGTGTGTGTGTGTGTGTGCGTGCGTGCGTGCGTGCGTGCGTGCGTGCGTGCGTGCGTGCGTGCGTGCGTGCGTGTGTGTCTGTGTGTGCGCGCGTGTGATGTGGTGTGACGCGGTGTAGCGTGGTGGTGGTGGGTGGGGTAGTGCGGTGGTGGTGGCGGTGCGCGGTGGTGGTGCGCGTGCGTGCGTGCGTGCGTTGATGGGTGGAAGTGGCGGTGGGTGTGCGTGCGGCGGGGCGGGGCGTGGTGCGGCGCGGTGGTGGCGGGCGGATGGGCGCGCGAGAAAGAGGCCCGCGCTGGGGCGAGAACGCCATCCTGAACGACGGAGGCAAAACACCGATTCGAAAATGAGGCCCACGCTGCAGCGGGAGCACGATTCGGAACGATTCGGGAGCAGAAATGAGGCTGGCGCCTCAGCGAGAGCAGCATTTTGAAAAAAACGCAGGCGAAAACCCAACTCCCGGGAATCCTGTGTAAAAAACAGTACGCGGGGGGGGGGTCTACTACTCCCAGCACGCCATCAGGGGAAGAGGGAGAGTAGTATTCATATTGAGTAACTGTGAATGAGGAGGAGGGGGGATGAAAAGGAGGGCGGGGGAGAAGGAGCAGAGGAGGAGGAAACGGGGGAGGAAAGCGGACGATGACGCGGGATGAGGGAGCGCAAGGAGGCGAAGGAAGGGAGACGGAGGGAGGAGGGGCGGGAGGAGCCAGGTAGGGAGGTTCGGGCGGGGCTGGGCGTCGCGATGTGCGCGGTCGGCTTGGGAGGTCGTCTGGTCGGCGTCAGCACCACCTCCTCCCAATCCTTCCCCTCATCCATCTCCTCTTCCCCCTTCCCCTCGTTTCCAATGTCCTCCTTCCTCCCTCGCAGACTTCCTCCCCTGTTCCCATCCTCCTTTTCCTCCTCATCCACCTCCTGCTCCTCCTGCTCCTCCTCATCCCCTTCTTCCCACTCCCCCTCTGTCTCCTCCTCATTGTCTCTACCCTGCTTCTCATTTCTCTCCTCCCTCCTCTCAGCCCTGCTCCTCCTCCGCCTCTCTTCCCCTGCCCCTTATCGTCCTCCATTCATTCCTCCTCTATCCCCCTCGTCGCCCCCCCTCGTCCTGTCTACTCCTCCTCCTCTTTCTCGGCCACCTCCTGCTCCTCAACCTGCTTCTTCCCGAACCCCTTTCCTCTAACCAGTCTCGACCCACCGGCAGCAGCCGTTCACGGTCTACTGGCACCGTCGCCCCGTCGGGTCTCCTGTTCTCGGACGGGTCCTGTTTTCGGTCAACTGCCCCGGAGCTGGCGAGGGCGGGATGGGCTGCAGTGATGTGCGACCCCTACGGTCAGGCAGCTGCAGCGGCCAACGGGCCACTCCGTGTGGAGATTCCCCCGCGGCAGACGGTGCGAGGCGGAGAAGGCTCTGCCGTCCACGTGTTGATTCAGGTAGCGAGGCCGCCCTTCCAGGCCCGTTGTCTATGGCGACTGTCAGGGCACTGTCCAGGCTCTGCTCAGGGGCCCACGCGCGGGCTCAGGCCCGGACGAGGCCAGGGCACACGTGTGGGCTCTTTCCTGGGCCTCTTTTTTTCCCGCGGCTGACTTCGAGGCCCACAAGGCAAGGGCCGCTGTAGCATGGCGGGTGTCTACCTCTTCGCCAGGGAGACTCCGCTGGGCGGCGAGCTGAATGGAAATTTCTGCGATGAGCCAACAGCGTCACTGGGCGCCGCGTAGAACGCAGGCGATGCGATGTGGCGTGGGTCAGCTGCGCACCCGATACATCCTCGATACAAGCCCGATACATCCCCGATACATCCGAAACGCATGGCGGCGCGCGCATCAGCGCGACCCCCGATGCAGCCCCGATATATTCCCGATACACCCCCGATACAAAACAGGACGCAGCAATCGCATGCCCGATGCGTCCGCAATGCATTCCCGCTACAAGCGCGCGCGCCACCGATACATCCCCGATGCATCCCCGATACAAGCGCGCGTGCCCCCGATGCGCCCCCGATACATTCCCGATACATCCCCGATACAAACGCGCGCGCCACCGATACATCCCCGATTCATCTTCAATACATTCCCGATACATCCCCGATGCATCGCCGACGCACCTACCGCGCGCGCATGACATTCGCCGACGCGCCCGCGATGCACTCCAGATGCATCCCCGATACATCCCCGATACACCACAAGAGCAGCTGCGATGCGCCTCCGCGCAACGCAGCCCTGCCCGACTGATGCGACCGAGGTGGATCACCAAGCTGTCGCCGACGCGGCGCGCGTTGATCAGCGTCGCGCCGCGACCAACGCGCGCTCGCCAAGACCTTTGCGCGCGCGGGCCCTGTGTACCGAATTTAAGCGCGCGCCGCGTCTTTGAACAATTTCCAAATGTATTGCGACACGAGGTCTAAACTAATCGGCGTCGTTTGGGCGAGCGCGCATTCCAACGTTCATTGCCGCGTTCGGGCGGGCGCCTATCCTAAAACTGAGCGCGCCCGCGCGGCGATAAGCAATGCTGCAATAGATGCTTAACTCTTCGGCAAACATAAAATCCATAACCTTTCGGGCAACGGCGGGGGCGTAACTTTTGACCGGGCTCCCACCTGCTCGATGCAAGCGCGCCCCGCGCGCGAGTGCCGCAGCTGGGCGTCGAAACGCCAATGGCCGCAAAATTCGCAGTAAGGCGGCCAACGGTTTCGTAAATGAGTTCGCTTCACAGGAGATCCCGATTACTTAAGGAAGATCCTCTGGGTCCATATCGTGCGCATCTCCACGCGCGATTCAAATTTTAGGTTTGCATGTGTGCAAAACTTGACATATCGACTTGGGGTTTGGAGTTCGGCCAAACCAACTATCGACCAGCAACCCTCCACCATGTAGCCATTGAGTTCGCACCACCAAATCGTCACCTACCTCCTGTTCCCCCATTGCATCCTCACCTACCTCCTCTCATCCTCTCATCCTCTCCTTTCCCTCTCTATCCCGCCCCCTATCCTCCTACCCTTTCCTGGGGAAAGGGCGCTGCAGAACCCGGGGATAAGCCAGATGCTCGCATCCGCATCCATCCTGACCCCGGAAACAAACCGAACGACTTGCTGCGCCAGTGCGCCTGGAATTGCATGGCCTGGGAGATCGCAAGCGGGTTGGCCGCCAAGCGGACCGAATCTTATTCCACGGGCAGATCGGGTTCCCTGGTATCAAATCGTGCGATGATGATGTCTGGTGATGCTGATGGCGATGCGCTTTGCGCATTTTTCACGGCCATCCCTTCTCTGCGCAATATGCGCGCAGCTGCGCAACAGTGGGTTCGGGGCCCTTGATGTGATCCGCTGCCGCGTCGTGCATGTGGGCGTTCCTCGCCCAGATCCCGAGGTAAGCATCGATCTCTGAGACTCCAAAGTGCGCCCTCGAAGATGGAGCAGTCGTTCGCGATCTCGCGCGCGGGTTCTTTGGGCGGTAATGGGTTGTCGTGCAGACAGGGCAAGTGATCGACCACCTGGAGTAGCTCTGATGCTGATCGCTGTAAACCTCCTCGTGGATCCTGCGGCCCTCGACGAAGTCCCCGTATGGATCTTACCGATCGGAGCCGCTTGCCACAATCCGCTGACGACGACGATGGGCGCCTCGGGAGCGGGCGCCACTAGCTCAGGAAGTGGCGGCGGGGCCGCGGCGCCGACAGGGGGCTGGCCATCGTCGCCTCCCGCGCCAGAATCACCGCGCGAACCAGCGGGCAGAGCCTCAGCCGCGAGCGAACCGAACGCCTGCGGAGGGCGACAGCGGCCCGTGCCGCATCAAACGCGATCCTGAGAACACTGGGGAAGGGGCATCGGGGAGGGGAGGGGGTGGTAGGGGAGTGGGCGGTGAAGGGGATGGTGGACCACATTGAAGGCGGCGCGAGGCGCTGCTGCCCCCCTCCGCCACCTGGATGGCCAAAGCCTCGCCGCCACCCGGCGGCAGAGGAGCTGGCCGAGCTCCGACTGCAGCGCCCATGACGTGAATCGGCACCCCGACGCCGTCAGCGTCGACCGCGACGTCCGCCAAGATACCGCGGCCGCCAGACTCCAACGCCCTGCGGTAGAAGTCAGCACCACGGTTAGGAGGCGTCTTCGGGTCGACGTGGAGGAGGCATCGGCAGTGCTGCTCAACCTGCTCATCGTAGATGGCGTCGCGCCCTCGGCCCTGCAGGGGCGCATCATCCAACAAACAAAGAAGGTTGGACTTTCTAGCGGCAGCGTCTTTGAGATTGAACTTCTTGTCAACGATCGGCAGCCGATGGTGGCCTGGATCCCCCTCGGTCCACCCTTCACCCCTCAACCGGCCTATCATCGTCAAAGCTGGGCATGTCCCAGGGTCCCAGGGCAAAGGTATGAGGCCATTCCAGCGCGCGGGCTTAGCGACGCCAAAGCACCCATCAAAATCAGACGGGCACCGCTCGGCCCACATGCGAAGTGAGTCCCTCAGCTCCACCCAAGAAGTCATAGCGCTCGCGTCCATGATGGTCGGGTATCCTCGAGACGGCTGAAGGGTAAGATGGGCGGGTGTTTATTGCAATGGCCCTGCCCCGTACAAAACCCATTTCCTGACCACTGATGGGCAGAACATCGACGATGTGTCGTAAGCCTCGGGGACTCTCTTACCATTGAGGTTCATGTCGATAACCTCGGAGACCTCCAACTCGCGCACAGGGTCGCCGCTCTCGCCATCGTCAATCGCAGCCAGGCTTCGGGCCTGCTCGATCTTAACGGGGCGCGTGCGGGCGGAGTGCAGCTGGCGAGGCTTTACCAACGTAGAAACGAAATCGTCGTTGATCTCACCGAAGCTCGTTGAGGCCTGCGCCCGTCGAGCGCGTGGCTGGCCACTGACGTGCGACCTGAGCTCGCTCCGATCCTGTTGGGAGCGCCGCCCGCGTCGGTAAACCTGGGCGCAGTATGCAGCATCTGAAACACGTTTGGGCACTAGCGCGCCCCTCCTCCCCGTCTTACCTTGCAATGCAGCCGTGTACTTGTCCCAGTACGCGTGAAGCTTGTATGCCCACCCAAGAGAACCATGAAGGACGCATTCTGTCAAGTTCTGGTTCAAGCGCACTCCACTGGCCTTGAATCGAAAGGACGATCCTGTAGATGCCGCCGCAATGCGGGCCAGCTGCCCGCGAACCGCCTCAGCGCTAGCCCCGCCGAGCTTCGCGTGCTCAAGTGCTTTGAGCTCGGCGCCAAGTCGAGACGACATCCCGCGGCCCTCGCAGTGGTCGATGAAGCCGGCGCTGAGGCCACCCTCGCACCACCTGACAGCCACGCGGCGATGCTGCGAGCCACCCGGCGCGCCAAGAGGCCCAGCAGTTCTCGAGCAATCGCTGGATCCCGAGCCTCCCAGAAGCGATATGGCAAGTGATCTAGGAACTTGAACTTGTGCTTGGCCACGCCCAAGAGATGGCTGTACGCCGCGTGAACAGCGCGGTAGATCTCGCCCGTCGGGTCGTCTTCGGAAGTGGTGCGGAGGGCAATTTGGTTGTTCCGCCACCTGTCAAAAGTATCATGGAGCCTCTGTCGAATCTGCGGGCCTCTGCACGACTTCCGATTGTTTGGGCACTTGAAAGTCATGCCCTTCCTTGCGTACTCAACGCACTCCTCCTCGTGGCATGGGCAGCCGTGCATCCAGCTCCTCCCCACGTCGATGTCCTGGCCGAGGTCGCTGACAACGTTAAGCTTGGCCCAGAAGGAACCGCCCCGAGCAATGGCATCAACTCTCCTGGCATCGGGCCCTTGCGTGGGCATCCGATCTAATCTCCAGCTGCAGAGGAAGCCAGTGCGCATGTCTAGGATGCCTGCCGCTGCGGCAGACACGGCACCCCATCGCACCTTGAAGCACGACCGAGGGGCTTTGGACAACTTCTGAACCTCGGTCGGAAGCATCTCCTCCAAGACGCCGCGTAAAATACCTCGGTGTCCGTCGTCGCGGAGGAAGGCGGCCAAGTGGTTCAAATCGCCGAAGAAGGCGCCCCACCACTCCATGCCGTTAAAAACAGTCCTGAGGATGAGATCCCACACGTGGTTTCCCTCCGGTAGCCAGAACGCGTTCGGGAACAAAAACGCGTCAGATAGATCAGCACCAGACACATGCGCGGCCTTGCCCGTAAGGAAAGCATTCGTAAAATCTGTGAAATCGATGACGTGGCTTTCAGCACCACTGTCTGGGGATACCACCCGAACGGATTCACGCCAACGCCTGATCGAAAGTTCTTTGAAGCCACTATCTAAGGGCGTGCAGGACGGCGGCAGCCTTGTCTGCGGCCGCGAAGTGGCCCGCGCCGAGAGTGCAGACAGGCAGCGTGCGAAACTGTGCCGTGGCCATGTCGGAATGCTGATGGCAAAACTCACGAACTGAAAACAAACGAAGCCCCTTAGAGGACTTGCGTCGTACCACAGCTGCCGCATCCAGCCACCCTGCCTATCCACAACCTGTCGTAACAACAGCATGGTAGTACCAAGCCTGAGACGTGCCTTGACTGATGTCTTCCCCGACGGGGCTGCAACATCTTCCTTGGTTATCTTTTCAATCGCCTGCGCGGACTCCCTAGGCAGTGCGAACTCCAAACATATCTGGACGTGGTCTTGCATATGTTTGATACTCTTGATGCCCGTCTGAACCTTCAGCGAACGAATCAAACGAGCAGGTGCGAGTCCCCCCCCCTCTCACAACATCTCTCCGACCAACCACGTGCAATGCGTACTACGATCGTCCTGAAGTGTCTCGGCATCGCCTCCGCTTTGACGAGGTGGCGCCTTCTGGGTTCTAAGGTAAGCCAACACCGTGCGATCAGAGAGAAGCGAAGGGAAAAACACATCACGCACCCGTTCCCGAAATATGAGCTGATACAAATCACATCCCAGAAGACCGCGTGCGTGCATGACCGCCACGGCCGGGTGAGCGAGCCATTTCTGCGGTTTCCCCAGGTTCCCGTCAATCTTGTACTTTGGCCTCCAAAGGTGGAACAATTCGTGTGCCGATGGGTTCCGTACATCACCGTGCGCATGCTCATGTTGCTCGACGGCGTGCTGGCAAACGTGCACTCGGATGGAAGCATCAAACCACTCACCGAAATTCAACGCGAACTCTGCAGAACTCACATCTCCGAGGCCCCTGGGAAGATCGATTGGGATGTCCAAATAAGCGCTCTCCTGGATCGGCACACTCTGATACCCAAACCTCTGCGTTCGCCTACCTCTCTTCAAACTGAAGTGTATAACGACATGTTGTTGCATGGTCGTGTCGTACTCGGTGGAAACATCTGACGCATCCTCTCCAGCGCCAAGCAGCTTGAATGATCTGACGACGGCGAAGCCATACAGTCTGACAGCGTCCGTGTCGTCGCATGGAATCTCGATCGAAAAGCGCTCCAACACCTCACATCCGAATGCGCCCACGTTCATTGTATGACATCCACGTGAGCTCAACTTGAAACACTCTGGCCACCTCCCACACTGAGAACCAAGAACCGCAACAATCAAAAACTGACCAACACGATCTGCATCTGTTCGTTTTCTCTTCCCGCTGCGAGGTTGAGCACGAGAGACTGCCGCAGCGGGTGGGCCGGAATCGTCACAAAATGACCCAAGCACCACGATTCCATCGGCCATCCAAGAATCTGCAGACGAGGGCCGAACTACATTGGAGCCAAACTACGGAAGCACATCGCAGAGCCCACGTGGTCAGGGAAAACGTTGGGCGACATAGGTGTGATTTGCGATTCACCTGGGCACGTCCTTTCGGGTTCCCGACGGGGCGGCAATGGCACATGAGCGCTTCCGAAAGGACACGGGCGAACGGCCTTTGGACCCGAACTAACTAGGGGGGAGGGGGATCAAGGAGACCACTTACGGAGAGACGCACGGGGCGATTGCAAGAGACATCCCCGAACCTATCAGAAAGACACAACTGAAAGACGTCGTGACACGCCCCCTTCACTCAACGATGCTTGCCTGAACCGCTTACTCCGTGGAACGTCCAATCACATCCGTGTTCCTCCTCCTCCTCTTCCTCCTTCTCCTCCTCCTCCTCCGCCTCCGCCTCCGCCTCCTCCTCCGCCACCTCCTCCTCCTCCTCCCTGCTGCTCCTCCTCCTTCTCCTCCTCCTCGTCCCTGCTTTTCCTCCCTCATCCTCCCTCCTCTTCCCTCCTCCTCCTCCTCCTCCTCATCCTCCTCGTTGCGTGTAACCCTACGCCCGAAGACGCAAGGCTAATTCTTGGCCGACGCTCTTGAGGCGGCGCCGATGGATGCTGCTCGAGCCCTCTGACGCCGAGATTTTCGGCCCAGCTCCAAACGAGGGTTTGACGCAACTGCGCCGCTTCTCAGGGGCCCGAATCAAGACTCGCTCAAAAGCGGTCTCGTGGCCCCTCTCGCCGGCCATCCTGGCCGGTTCCGCAAGCCGCACCCGGGCCGTGGTGACAAGAACCTCAGAAACACCGTTGAAACCTTCAAGCCGACGACGTCTGGCATGTGGGAAACGCTGAGGTCCTTGCGCTGTAATTCTATCACCACGGGTGTTTTCGCCCGGCTTCGGGCCCTGGGACCCTCACAGACCGATCTGGCTCGAAGAATGCCGCTTGAAGATGGGGTCAGAGGCTCGGGTGGTGATTTCCTGCAGTATTGCAATCTTTTGCAACATCGGATCTCAAGGAAGACGGGTCCTGATGGAGACGGGGCATGGCCACTCTTGGCGGTCCCAGGGCCTGGGGATGGCCCCAGGAGCCCGAACACCCTCCAGGACCTCGTTTCTCCATGCTGACCTGGAGGCTGCCCACATGGGGATCCAAGCAGATGGGATCCGAGGATCGCGCCGCATCGCCAATGCACTGAGGATGCTGCACGACCCGCCAACCCAATTTGGGGCGGCCATGGATGACCTTAAAACGACGAGGTCGACTGCATCGTGGCCGAGCTGGGCAAGCCCAAGGGCCCCGCATGAGGAGGGGCCCGCGTAGCAGAACACCACCGGGGCGTCGTCTGGAAGGGTGGTCTCGAAGAGCTCGACCTGCGCGTCGGCAGGGCCGCGCCATCGGCCATCCCTCGGAGAGGGGAAGGGGGAATAGGCGGGAACAGCAAGCGACCACAACCACAACCACATCCAGGGCGTCCCCAGACGGGGTTGCTTTGCGCATGCCAGCAATAGTCAGAACACCGAAGCCAGCTCAGTACTGCTTGTGGTCGACGTGGGCGCTCCAGCCTGCCAAACTGGCCACGATCACACACAGAGAGAAAGTCCACGTCGAGGGCAGGGTGCTCCTCCCGCGAGCCCTCCGGGGAAACTCCCTTGCTTGTTTCTGTGGTTGTTTGCCGTGCCCGGGCAAGACGAACCCAGGGCAGGGACAACATGCTCGCTTTGGAATAGAGCCAGCAGGAGGAGGAGGAGGAGGAGGAGGAGGAGGAGGAGGAGGAGGAGGAGGGACAACATCTGGCTGGGACACGTCAGGGATATCGGGGAGCCGGCAGCTCTGGAAGCGATCTCGGGCGCCGCGGCCGTCCCAGAGCGCGCTGCAAGCGCTCTGGAGCGCTTTGGAACGAGGGGATCCGGGTCCCAGCCCCGCCTGGAGGGGGTGCCCTCAGATCTGGGCTTCGCACCGACGCGGCTGGCGTGCCGCGCCGGAGCACTCTTGGCCACAGACTGGCGGAGCGGCACGCGAACCAAGAACTCCCGACCGTGCCGTGGTGACCGGCCCATCACTGCGCTCGGCCTCTGGGGGCAGTTTCCTGGCCCCCGGGGCCGTCAGCGGAACGACTCGGGCCGGAGCGTCGGCCCCACTGGGGGGGGGGGTCGAAAGCGAAATTCCCTGGAGGCCACGCCAGAATGAGGCTGCGGCCTCGGCCTCCGCGCTCCCCCCCTGCGTGCGCAACGCATCCCTTCGTGCGGTCGGACGCCCTCTGGTCAGGGGGCAAAAAGGTGGAATCTTTTCGTGGTCGACCCCGTGTTCGTCCCCCCCACTCCCTCAGGATTCAAGGCTGGGTCGGGCCCAGCGGAGGCACTGGGTGTTCCACTTCTTCCCCGAACATGCTTCAGCCAAAAAAAGATCTGACCTGGCCATGAAAACTGGTGTGTGAAACTCTCTGCCGGCCTCGCCCTTCACATGGCGTTGATGTTGTCGTTGTTGTTGTGATCGTTGCTGCTGGTGGTGGTGTTGTTGATGATGTAGCTGCTGCTGTTGCTGTTGCTGTTGCGGTTGGTGTTGTTGTTGGGATTATTATGGCTGCTGATGTGTGTGCTGTGTTGTTGATGTTGTTGTTGCTGTTGTTGATGCTGTTGTTGTCAGTGGTGGTGGGGGTGATGCTGCTGTTGTTGCTGCCGCTGTTGCTGGTGTTGTTGAAATTGTTGTTACTGTTGTTGGTGTTGCTGCTGTTGTTGCTGGTGTTGTTATTGTTGCTGTTATTAGTGTTGCTGCTGCTGTTGTTGTTGTTGAACATTATTACTTCTAAAGAATAATTATTGTTGGGACCCCTGGTGCACGACCCCCCCGCCGCGCCTAGGCCGCAGCCTCATTTTCATCATTTTCGTAAGGATTTCTCAGGCAAAACGGGGGAGTCCGGATCCGGTTGTGTTGTTACGATCGGTTTTCCCTTGCAAAAAATAAGCTAAAGTGGACATTTCTTGTTCTATCATAACCAAACTTCAAGAATCCCTTGCAAAAAACAAGGTAAAGTGGACATTCGCGCGCGCAAGACGAAATCCTTCCAAAACCTTAGTTTTCGTAGCGATTTTAACATAAAAACATCAAAAAACCAATGGTTTTTCAAAAAAATGTCAAAATGTCATCCCGCGCGCTCTTGCGGATTTGTAAGAAACCCAACATTTTTTAATCATTTCTGTCAAACGGGCTTTTGCGAGCAACTTTTTCGAACTTCTGCAACAACGGTTGCGCACCTGCCAGGGCCATCGTCCCTGTCAAATAATACCATGCGGGACACATTCGTTTTTCTTCGCGCGCGCACGCCGTCGTCGTCGGCCGCGGGGCCCTGAATAGTAGCCACGGTCGTCCGCATGCCACGAAGTGAAGTGTCCGAACGTCATAGGGCGGGAAGCTGGGTGTGGGTGGTGGCGAAGAGTCGTTTGGAAATTTGGTAGAGCTTGAACCGGCCCCCCCACAAAGTGGGGGTATTGCCCGCCTCCTATGAAAACCTTGGCACTGGTGAGAACGGAGTGTCCCCACGTGCTAGTAATTGTTGTCGTTGTTGTTGTTGTTGTTGTTGTTGTTGTTGTTGTTGTTGTTGTTGTTGTTGTTGTTGTTGTTGTTGTTGTTGTTGTTGTTGTTGTTGTTGTTATGTTGTTGGCGTTGTGTTATTGTTGGTGTTGTTGTTGATGCTGCTGTTGCTGTTCCTGTCGCTGCTGCTGCTGCTGCTGTTGTTGGTGGTGTTGGTGGTGTTGGTGTTGGTGTTGTTGTTGCTGTTGTTGTTGGTGGTGTTGTTGGTGGTGTTGTTGGCCAGTGGTGCCTCGGGCGCCCCGGCCCCTCGGACAGTGGCGACCCTCACGAGGCCGCTGCCCCCCTTGAGGAGCAGGAGCCCTCTGCCGGCTCCGTGGGCCAGTTCTGGGTCGGGCGCCCGGGCTCCTCGGAGAATGGCGACCCTCACGAGGATGGTGCCCCCCTGGAGGAGCTGGAGCCCTCTGCTGGCTCCGTGGGCCAACTTTAGGTCGGGCGCCCGGGCTCCTCGAACAGTGGCGACCCTCAAAAGGACGCTGCCTCGGGCGCCCGGGCCCCTCAGAGAGCGCTGGGGCCAGTCTTGCTTCTGGGCGGTGTGGGGGCGGAGTCAAGTGTTCTACTTCGTTGTCCTTCTATTGTCCCCCTCGTCCCTCCCCCCTCCCCGACCCCCCCTGCAGCCGCGCTCTGATAGGGGGAAAACCAGTGGAGGAAGGGGCACGAGCGCAAGGAGGAGGAGGAGGAGGAGAATCGACTCTCGAAGCCCGGAATTTGGGGGATTTCGACTCATCGTTTCAGTATTCGGATTTGTTTGCTCAACGTAGTGCTTCGCTTCCTTTGTCCCCTCTCCGTCTGTCTATACCCCGCGTGTAAAAATGGCATTGCGTTGCAAGGACTGCAAAAGGCGATCGGCAGACGGAACAAGATGCTATTCCTCTCTCTCCCGTTGTTTTGGTTATGTCATCTCTCTCTCTTTCTCTTTGTCTCTCTCTCTCTCTCATTCTCTATGTCTTTATATATTTCTGCATGTATGTTGTTTGCTTGCTTGTGTTTCTCTCTCTCTCTCTCTCTGTCTCTCTCTCGCTCTCCCTCTCTATGCACCTACCCCAGATTGAACCGGCTCGCTTTGCTTCGCCGTTGCAATCTTGGTCGCATGGCGCCAGCGAAGTGCGCTGCGACCGCAATTGCCGTCAGTTGAGAACGGGGCGTGGGGCGGCACGGTCCCAGAGCTTTTAGAGGTGGCGGGGGGCACGGGTCTGGAAGGTCCCCCGAAGGCTCTAGGGCGCACGAGGCTTGTCTTGTTCATGAGGGTCACATGGTCGCATGCCTCATGGAATTTGAACGGTATACGGGGCTCATCGGTCTTGAGCTGGAGCTGAGCTGGAGCTGGAATTGAAGGTGGAACTGGCGAGCTCCTGCAAGTGCTGCTACAGCTCCCCGTCCTCCTCCTTCTCCTCCTCCCCCTCTACAATTACTCAATATGAATACTACTCTCCCTCTTCCCCCGAAGGCGGCCTGAAAGTAGCCGACCCCCCCCGCGCACTGTTTTTTTACACACAGGATTCCCGGGAGTTGGGTTTTCGCCTGCGTTGTTTTTCAAAATGCTGCTCTCGCTGAGGCGCCGGCCTCATTTCTGCTCCCGAATCGTTCCGAATCGTGCTCCCGCTGCAGCGTGGGCCTCATTTTCGGATCGGTGTTTGGCCTCCGTCGTTCAGGATGGCGTTCTCGCCCCAGCGCGGGCCTCTTTCTCGCGCGCCCATCCGCCCGCCACCACCGCGCCGCACCACGCCCCGCCCCGCCGCACGCACACCCACCGCCACTTCCACCCACCAACGCACGCACGCACGCACGCGCATCACCACCGCGCACCGCCACCACCACCGCACTACCCCACCCACCACCACCACGCTACACCGCGTCACACCACATCACACGCGCGCACACACAGACACACACGCACGCACGCACGCACGCACACACGCACGCACACACATACACACATACACACGCACACACACACACACACACACACACACAGACACACACACACACACACACACCACCACCGCCACCACCACCACCGCCATCACGCACGTACGCACCTGGCCCACCACCAAACCACCAAGACGCCACACCACGTCACACCACAGCACACGCGCACACACGCACACACACACACATACACACCACCACCACAACAACCACAACCACGCACACACGCACGCACGCACGCGCACCACCACCCACTACGCACACGCGCGCGGAGCCACAGGTCCGCTACGACACGCGTCCGCGGATAGAGAAAATCAGCGCCATGGTAAGGGATGGGAGGGAGGGGTAGGCTGTCAGATGTTGACGCGAGCGCACCTAACTTGCCTCCTCCCCCTCTCCTCCTCCCCCTCTCCTCCTCCTCCTCTTCCTCCTCCTCCTCTGCCTCTGCTTCTCGAAGAACACGAAACGCTGGACGGCTGGATCAAGACACAACCACTCCATCCTTGGAGAGGGGTTCTGACAACACGGAAAACAAGATTACCCCAGCAAAGCCCTCTAATCGGACCAGCGAGATCTGTGGGACCTGTGGGACCAGCGAGACCTGTGGGACCTGTCGGACCTGTGAAATCTGCGAGACCTGTGACACCCATGGGACCTGTGGGACCTGTTGTACCTGTGGTGTCTTTACGAACTATGGAACCTGCGGGACCTTCGACACCTGTGGGACCTTCTGGACACGTGTGACCTGTGGGACGTGTGGGGCCTGCGGGACTTGTGGGACCTGGGGGACCTGCGAGACCTGTGGAATCTGGGGGACCTGAGAGACCTGTGGGATCTGTGGGACCTGTGATGCTTG